AACTGTAGGTTTTCTTAAGTCGGCTTACAGTAAACTCTATCAAAGGCTCCATAGGCTCATAAAGAGCCCAACCGATCAGCGATTAGTTAGAAGCTATGCTACTAAAATAACGAGGTCCTGATTGGCTGTTTAACATACTGCTACTATGGAAACTCAAGGTCTTTTAATTACTATAAAACCCCTGTTTTTCTGTACATAAATAAACCTTGCAGTAAAGTGTTTTTTCTCTGATACTCGTGTCTTCTCTCTGGTCTTGAAGTTGATGAGTAGTGCTAACCTGGGGTTATCCGAATAGCTTAGGATCTGAATAAAGCGTTCAACTTACAAGACATATCAGGTTTCTTTTCCAATAAATATGAGAAGTGTCACAGTTTTGACATTCCTAATACCTTTCTTAGTCATACTCCAGACTATGAACCTTTCCAAATAATCCCTAAAATCTTCAGAATTTCAATGTATGTCTAACTATTCCCTCACACGCTTCATCGTGAATCTGATGAGATATTTAGAAGCATTTGAATTACTATACGCACCAGGAATCTCCGAAATAGAGCAGTATATACCAAACAGAGCTATTTGAGTACAAACGAACGTATTGTACTCGGAATTATAAATCACTTAGTCATCAGGTACAAAGGAATCATAAGTTCATACAAACACCACACAATCATTGTTACACACAGACATCACACTACTCAACACAGTAAACAGGTTTGCACCATATGATCTACGCAAAGGAAAGTCATGTTGTAATTCAGTTAGCATGGCTTCAATGAAAATATTGTTTCGAAAAAGGATTCTTTTATGATCACTTCTAGACTGCTAGCACAGATACGAGGAAATCGATCTCCTACTGAAAGACCACAACTTGTCGCTGTGTACACGGGTATGACTGCATCTTTTCCCAATGAAAAAGTAGTAAGTAAGCAACTAACCAACCGTAAGTGAGAATATTGAGTAGGAATCAAAAAAATTTGTCAGCTCCTTTAAGAATACAGATTAACTTCCAAATAAACTATCAGATTTGGATAAGTTGAAGCTCCTCAAAATTCCTGTGATTCCAGGATGCTTGAACGACCTGAGGTTAATTGGTCGAGAGTTGACTGCAAACATCTTAGTAGCGTCAAAACATTAGAGCTGAAGTATACAGTCACCTCTTTATTTTTTGTAGGTATTATATTTCCTACCACTTTATATCGAATGCTGAAAAACTCTAAGTACTCAAAAAAGTGAAGCTCGCGCTCCAACCATTCTGTTCCACAATCAAATTGAAGACATATTCACCAATATTCTGTTTTCTTCCACCGATAAAACGAGGGGTACTCATCAGCAACAAAGGCTCATACCGCGCTACACTCAGGCACCATGAAAAAGGATAGGGTAACAGTCAGTGTACAAAAATAGAGCAAAATGACAGTAAGTGAGCCGGGGTTCTTGGATCATCAGCCTAGCAACCTCGTCGTGGAGTTTATTTGTTGTTAGTGGATTTGGGCCAAAAATATTCTGTGTAATATATCCGTCCTTCTGTATGAAGTCATATAAGAGTCCGTCGTTTCTTTCCGAAAGTTCCATCAGACGAGTTTGAAGACTGATGCTATCACACTTCATTATATGATTTCACTTGTTGTATAGTGCCTTTTCTATGATGAATCACCTGCCGTTTGACAAGAACCATGTCTTCCTTGCATCACCCTTAATTATAATAATTCTGCCGGTGCTAGACTTCAACCGAGAGGTGGACCTTAAGGGTTTAGTAAATGACCAAAAAAGAGTGTATCGATCAACAAGCTAGAGATCGACTCTCTTCGAAGCATTCCGTTATTTTTCCACATCAACGTAACCATATCCGCGGAGGTATCCGCAAGAAGTTCGTCATCTGAGGACACCAAATGATATGATGAAGGGATCTCCTCCTTCAAGAGTATAAACTATTGTGAGATCCAAACCTAAATTCCAATAGGTCTGGATGTGGTTGAAAACTACAATACAAGTTTAGAAACTCATTTCAATCGAAATCAGAACAAAGTGTTTTGGAGTAATAACGGTTCTAAATTTCATCATATATACAAATGTACAAATTTACGTAAGCAAATATTACCACCCGGTTATTCAACCAACAACTGATACCAAAATATTCAATCTAAATTACAATGAATAACAAAGTGGTAAGAAATATATGAAAATTACCGAAAACACCAAAAGGTGAGTGTTATTCTATCCTTTCTGGATAGATCAAGTAATATCCTGTTTGAGCGGCTGTTTTATAACACAAAGTGTTTCAATTTCTGGGAAAGTGCTCCAAATTACAACCAAAAATGCACGATCCCAGTCAAAATCAAACCGCACAATCAAAGAGCGAGCAGTCAATATGGCAGCCTTTAGAATAATAGCACTTAAAACAAACTAGATGCAGTTCAGTAAGGAACATAGAAACTCAATAAAAAACAATAGTAAAACCAAGAAGATTAGACATTACAGTCTTAATTAGCATCAAAAAAGTTAACAATATATACAAATAAAGAAAACGTAAGGAAGAAATCACAGATGTATGCATGGAGGGATTTTCACCTCCAAAATGGATCTAACTACTATTACGAAGTCCAGAACTCTGATTTCTTCGTTGATGAAAATACTGTTCACTTCAGAAGCTTGTGTGTTGAACCTTCAGTCGGCTCACTGGCCTGCGTTTTCGGACTAGTCGAATTCTTCTGTCATGCTCGAAATTGGTGTGAACAGAGAATTAAAAACGCTATGATAGACAATGGAAATGGGTGTTATTTCGCACAATTAAAAGTTTGTAAAATACTGACATTTAGTTTTGTCCCTAGTTTATTCTTTAAACCATAAGCTTGCGTTTGATGTGTGGTTCACAACCATACCCTTTCAGTTCCAAAGCTATTGTAATCTAGACGTAACCGTTGGCACTTTATTTTCCTATTCAAATGCCCAAATTGAACATAAAACATTTTTCCAATTGTTTGCGCGTTATAGTTATGTCAGTAATCTATTTATTCATGTATCTTTTTACACTAATATGAACTGGGGACCGAGACTCAGGAATAAATCGAGTACTGTTCCACTTGACTCGCCTTCTCTCAACCCATCAGGTGACAGAGTAATTTTTCTCTCTCTACCCAAGGCCGTCAGTCTGCCTTCAGATTTACACACTTCTAGCCTCAAGGTTAAGCCACATAGCCATTCGTGTCAGGGACCTAATCTGGGTCGGAGCAAGTTCTTCCTTGTTTATTATTTTGTAGATAGATCAAGGAAGTGATACTAATATCAATATTTACTTCGACATAATTTGTTCATACTTACAGGGTCGAGAATAGTGAAATCACTCAGGTGAAACCATAGAGCTTCTCTGATAACCTAAAGAAATGAACCATTTAAGTATCTGGACAAAAACCTACTTCTAATAACAATTACAGTTTAGTAACTGATTATTCATGTCTTACAACATTATTAGTGTCTTAGTAGGTACTGCGCCTTCAAAAACTAAGAGTTGTCAATAGACGTTGCCTTTGTTGACTTCAGAAGGGACCTAGAAAACATTCTATACAACAAAGGTGTGGATACTGATTGATTTGAGGTAAAATTCAGTAAACTAACCACCTCTGTAATCCTACGATGAAGTCAAACCGTTTCATGACTATATGACCTGGATTACATTGAAACAGTAGTCAGCTTATTACATTACCTTGCCGTGTACAGAAAATAGAATCCATCCTATCGATGGGGCTATTTACGAGGTAAATGCGGGCATTTAAAGTTAATGTGTATAGATCGCGACTACGCTATCTGATATGCATGAACCATTTCACTGATTGATAGTTATTGAGGATCTGGTGATCTGGTGCTAACGAGAGGCAAAGTGCCTTCAGCTAGTCGAGCTCATTAAAACTAATGTGGTCAGCATCAACTACCGAAGACTTACAGAGCTATTGATATTAGGGATTTATTTACTGCTACAAGTTAAACGATATTGAGATGGTGGAGAAGATTTGTAGCTCAGGTGAGTGATTTTGATGTTGGTTTGTTCTCTGAGCTGGATGGTTAAACGATATTGGAATCAGAATGAACTTACTTCCATGGGTAAACGGTTATTCCATAGTACGAGCACAAAGAATTCTTGTCAGACCCAAATTATCCTTCTGAAAGTGCTTAGTAAAGTCCTCTACGGTTCATTCTGGAGGTCGGCAATATTCATTTTGTATTTAGATACACTAAACCACCAACTAGGTAGATGTTAAGGCATTGGAGACTGTGTACAAATTTTGTTCTACCAAAGCTGGAATGTTACACGCAGATGTCGAGCCTCCGTCTGATAAAATTCGATGAGCTGTAGATTAAGGTTCACAGAGAAGCATTTTATTCGGTTCATAGAAATTCAAAGCTGCCGTATGGAGAGAGACTGATCAATACCTTGTCGTGAATGAAGAATAGGGTTGACTTACGATCCTTTTACTAATTCACAATAGTTTTGTGTGGGGAGCATACTTATTTTTATTGCATTTCAAAACAGTAGGCTCAGGAGGAGACTGAACAAGTCTTCACGGGCCCGAAATTAATTAGTCATCGGCTCTGTTTACCTTCTTATAGAACCACAAATTAGTGAGGTTGTTCCACACAAAGCGGGAGTAGAGCTCTATATGTTGATGTATTCAAGAGGAGGATGGGTCATCTAGAAGACTCTTGTTGTCAGGATTAACTCAAACCAATCAGCTTCAAGTCCTCGAAATGTGACTGATGTAGACTAATTTTGGTTTCGTTTCATAACTACTCTTTCAATCATTCATTATCATTTTGTTCTTTCAGGTTCATGAAAGAATAGTTAGAGAATTACACTGGTTTGCAACAGATAATGCTCCCCCGCAATACAAACCCAAATCTCATGGAACGGACGGTTCGACTCATTTGGAGTGAAAAACACAATACTTGAAGCGCGGTAATCGAAGGTTGCGCAGCCTCTGTGTATTCGGTTGCCCAACAGCCCATTTATGATGGCGGAGAGTTCGTCTTGGAGTTTTGATGAAGCCGATTTGTCTGCGTGTTTCGATGACACGATGAATGGCATCGGCGTAGGCGTCCGATCAATGTTTAACATGCGGTAAGCTCTCTATGTTAACATCTTTGGGGGAGAATATTGTAAATAGCTGGGAAAATTAGATTAAGAGTATCACAGATACGTTATATTCTATCCACTAACCAAGTAAAATGCATCTTCATATTAATCTCTTCATATTCTCCACACAAAATTAGTTAAATTGGTGGTTTAATACACAAAAGCAAATGATTTAGGGCGGATCTACTAAGTCGTCCTTGATCGCAAAGAGAACGTTCACATCATATATCTTTACTTCTTAAAAGCTTTTGGTAGGGTTAACCATAAATGTCTTGTCAATATGCTCAAACGAATAGGTATCAAGCCATTACTAGTTGATTGGCTTACTTTATATTTAAATAATTGACTTTCCAAGGTCAGGGTAAACTTCGCTTTTTCTCAGGCTACAGGATGCCATAATGGGATCCCTCAAGGTCCAATAATAGGACCACTTTTTTAATTTATATAAAGCTGTTGTATCCGAGTCTAGATCAAATTACTCGTAACTTCTGAGGTTTATTAATGGACTAATTATATATATTCCTATTGTATAAATGTTCAGTAACTATATTATGTATATCTATATTCCCCTTATTATAAGCTTTATTTGACCCATAAATTATTATTATTATACGATTTACTGTTCCCAAATTATGTTCAGTTTATTAACTACCATCTCCCACGTTCACGGTCACATTTTGGCTTGAGCTTGTAATGTTATTTTATATTTTATGGTGTGATGCGTTCTGTTTGGCTGGCGTATAAGCCAGATATGTTTGAAATAAATGATTCGCATAACAAGCTGTTATTGGTCTTCTGAACTCAACTGGAATGGCTAGGCGGTCAAAGGACAGATAAGGACGCTAGGCTGCTCATACCGGTGGAACGTCATTGGTTTGGCACAGTGATAAGATTGTATAAGTCGTATTTCGATTGGTGAATAAATCACGTTATAAAAGCCGGGCATAAACTCACATCAAAAACACCTTGCTGAGCAGGTATCGTCTGATTTGTTACTTTTCGCTGGTTATGTGAAACTCTGGAGAAAAGCCGGCAAGCTGGCACTTCAAGAGGATCTGACTCGACTTCAAAGTTGGGCCGATAACAACGGACTTATCTTAAACACTTCGAACTATAAAGTAGTTTATTTATTTAAACATAAATATTGGCACAAGAGGGCACCAGATATATATGCGCCGCTCAAATCTGGGCTGTGATACTGCCCAGGTGCCCAAACTAAAGAAGGTGTATAGAGTAGTCCATCTTAGACATGTTGCAGACTACGAATGCAACTTAGGTTACTCCCCTCTAGAGGTATCCGAAGTTGGAAAAGATCTAGAAGTGTTGGTACCCTGTGATCCCTGCTTCGGTTTGGGTACCCGGGCAGTATCACAGCCCACACACAAATAAATGAAATGATGAATTCTATTGACGATACTATCCTCGCTCACACTAGAAGCAAGACAATTTACACTATTATTATTACCATTATTATTATTATTACTAATATTTACTAAGTCGCTTTTTCACTCCCTTTAGTCTCAAATTGTGTATCTTTCCTTTCCAACTTATGCATTAGCTCGCCCATGGTGGAAACTCTGTCCTATCTAAACGATCTCCAGTCACTGTTTGGTTGAAAGTGAATGCTTCCACCGGTTATGAATACTGAAGCAGTCTTTCTGAAACCACGTACACCGTTCAAGCTGGCTTCCTTCAACGTTCGCACACTAATGCAGATCGGACAACAGATGGGGCTAGCTATGTCTTTGGAAGGTTTTAATGTTGATGTTTGCTGTCTATCCGAGACCCGTATTCAAGACTCTAGTGAAGTACTACAAATCCGCTCTCCATCTGTCGCTTCGAAAAGCTTGTTCCACGTGCACTTATCCGGGGACTCTGTGGCATCTTCGTCTGGTCTTGCAGGCGTTGGTGTTGCACTAAGCGCTAGGGCTGAGGCAGCACTAATCGATTGGATCCCCATTAACAGTCGGTTATGTGCTGTTAGATTAGAAAGTTCCATCAAAGTGAGAAGAAATCGGCGCGAGAAACGGTGTCTTTTCGTCATCTCCGCCTATGCCCCGACAGATTGCAGCCCGGATGCAATCAAGGATGAGTTTTACCACCAGTTAACAGTTCTTCTCCAGAAAGCGCGTTCGACAGATATTGTAGTACTAGCCGGAGACTTAAATGCTCAGGTCGGGTGTCTAGGCACAGAAGAGAGTCGTTTAGGTGACCAATGGGGACTTGTTGGTCGCAGGACAGATAACGGTGACCGTTTGCTGCAACTGTGCACAGACCACAACCTGTTTCTGTCTAGCACTAACTTCCGGCACAGTCATCGCCGGTGTGCCACCTGGCGTCCTCCCTCTGCATCCCAAGCCTGGACTCAGATTGATCACATCGCGATCAGCTACTGCTGGCGTGGTTGTGTACAAGACTGCTGCTCCTTTTGGAGTATCTATCTGGAGTCTGATCATGCCCTGGTCATCTCACCTTACTTTTCAGTGGCCGAAGAATTGACCACCACCAACGGATCGATGTTAGTAAACTGGCTGCAACATCTGTTGCAAGTAAGTATCGAGCGGAGTTAGCCTCTAAGCTAACTACCATCCCAATGAAAAGTCTAGATGAGCATTGGTTGCACCTTCACGACGCCATGAAAATGACGAGTAAAGCCGCTTGCGACTTCGCGAAACGTCCCGCTTACAAGCACTGGGTTTCTTCTGGCTCCTTACAACTGATGTAAGCCCGTCGGTCTACTCCGGGTGACCGTGAGTTTGACCACAAACGAAGGCTGTTACTTAATGAAATCGGGCAAAGCTTGCTTAAGGACCGGGAAGCCTGGTGGTCGGAGCATGCTAATGAGATGGAAGCAGCAGCTGCATCTGGTAACTGCCGGAAGCTCTTCCAACTCATCCGAGCCACTGACAGCAAGAAGTCTGGTGTGAGTGAAACAATCTACGAGGATGACGGGATGCCAATCACCAACATCTGTCGACGTCTTGGACGATGGGCGGAATTTTTCGAAGGGCAGTTCAACTGGCCTGCTGCTCCGGCAACATCAACCAGTTTGTCCTGCCCCCCATGGCCGGTGACGACTGATCCACCAAACGAGGCGGAAGTCCGCAAGGAACTCCAACTCTTGAAGCGCCACAAATCACCGGGCCCAGATGACTTACCTCCGGCTCTTTTTAAAGATGGTGGTGACTTTCTGGCTAAGGAACTGACTGCATTGTTTGCAAAGGTTTGGGAGGAAGAAAGTGTTCCAACATCATGGAATGAGTCGATAGTCGTCCCTATCTTTAAAAAGGGTTCACGTTGTTCCTGTAACAACTATCGGGGATAAGTCTACTTCCGATTGCGTCCAAACTATTGGCTTCTATCATTCTTCGTAGGTTGTTTAAAACCCGAGAACGATTGACTCGCGAGGAGCAGGCTGGTTTTCGTTCTGGTCGAGGATGCATTGATCACATCTTCACCCTCCGCCAAATGTTAGAACACCGTCATACTTATCGCAGGCCAACAATCGTAGTGTTTCTTGATATCAGGGCGGCTTTCGATTCGTTGGACAGGACTGTTCTCTGGGATTGTCTATTGAAGAAGGGTGTGCCTGAGAAGTTGATTAACATCTTAAAGGCCCTGTATACGAACACCTCAGTCAGAGTGAGGGCATACAACCACCTTTCTCCCTTGTTTCATTCGAGCAGTGGGGTTAGGCAGGGTTGCCCGATCTCACCATTCCTCTTCAATCTTGCCATCGATGGCATCCTAGAAACAGCTCTGATGGATGTAAGTAATGGCGGTGTGGATATGTTGCCTGGAGAACGACTTTTCGACCTCGAGTATGCGGATGATATTGTCTTACTGTGCGATAATGCCCAAGGCATGCAATCCGCACTCAATCAGTGTCCGCAGGTACGGCATGTGCTTTGCACCCTCCAAGTGCAAAGTACTCCTACAAGACTGTCAGGATTCTCATCCTGTACTCACCCTGGATGGTGAGTAGATTGAAGTAGTTGAGAAGTTCGTGTACCTAGGTAGCTACATAAGTGCTGGTGGTGGCGTGAGTGATGAGATTGATGCACGTATAATGAAAGCCAGAGCGGCTTATGCCAATCTGGGCCATCTTTGGCGCCTTCGTGATGTTAGTCTGGCTGTAAAAGGTCGGATGTACAGCGCGTCGGTGAGAGCAGTTTTGCTCTATGCTTGTGAAACCTGGCCTCTCCGAGTTGAGGATGTTAAACGTCTCTCTGTGTTCGATCATCGTTGTCTCCGAAAGATTGCTGACATCCAGTGGCAACACCATGTTAGTAATGTAGAGGTTCGGCATCGTGTGTTCGGGTGCCGAGACGATAATTCAATTGGTGTCACCATCTTGAAACACCGACTTCGGTGACTTGGACATGTTTTACGAATGTCATCCCAGAGACTTCCACGTCGTGCATTATTTGCCGACCCTGGGACTGGTTGGAAAAGGCGGAGAGGAGGTCAGTGTATGACATGGTGTCGTGGCATGAAAGAAAGCTGCAAAGGGCTAGCTCCTGTTGGTCCTTCACGACTCCCTGACTGGGGTCCGAGAGATAGTGCAACACAGTGGCTAGAGACGTTATCAGATATGGCTCAGAATAGAAGCCAGTGGCGATCCTGCTGCAACCTTCTTTTACTTTCTACATAAAGAGTGGTTCTAACTTTCTTAACTGAAAGAGTCTTCTGGTTGTACATTTTAGTCCGCGTTATCTTTTCATCCTTTCCCTTCCTACTTTCATTATTTTGTGTAGCGCATATGTATCTGGTGCCCTTTTGTACCAATATATATGTGTTTAAATAAATAAATAATAAATAAACCCTGTGATCTGAAGTCTTACGCTAACCGCAACAACAGTGCCTTTCGAGCAAACCTTGCGCTGGTAACGTTGAAGCGCATTTCTGGACAATTGGACAGTAGAACTTCTCGCTTAATCTTCAACGGTTTTATTAGACCTTATTTAGAGCATGGAAATATAGTGTTCCCTCCCTCACTACAAAGGGATAAGTATACATTGGAACGTATCCAACGGCGAGTCACTCAGTCAGACTCAATTTCAAGTCTTATGAAGAGCGCCCCAATTCACTGAACCTTTACCCATTCGAGCATGGGCGTCTTAGATTTGTTCTCCTAATGACTTACGGCATCCCAAACACTTTTAGATATCCTTTTGAGCGCCTACTTAGGCTCAGTCCTAAAACGAACCTTAGGGGTAACACCCAGAAACTGGGGACAAAATATAGCAGAACGGACCGTGGGTACACTCTCTACTCCTTAAGAGTAGTCAAATGCTGGAATTCTCTGCTGGCTGAGCTAGTACAAGGGACTTCCCAGGAATCGTATGAGAGAAAACTTGACATATTCTCGGGGACTAAGGACAGTATCTCGTTATAGTTTACTAATGTTTTTTTCTCTTTTATCGTTAAGTATATCTGGGTTCCACTCTGTCGGTATCGACGACCCAGTGTTACTAGATACGGAAGCACGTTATGTGAAAACCTATGTGCTATCTAGTGGCTTTTGATTTATATATAGGAGTTATAAAAATTATGGATGAAGTTTCGTGAGGCCTACACTGTTACGTTTTTTTAAATAATATTTTGAACACGGTCTCTTTTTTAAAGCCATATTTTACTGTCGTTCTGACATATCATTTGTTCTGTGGGTGCTGCTTTCTTCCATTACTACTCAATTTCGTGTTGCTACTTATATCCGAACTCAGTGGTATATCAGATTGTCATGTAAGAGTGTATCCTTTTTTGTTTAATTATGATCACGTCCTTTTTCTAAATTATTACTTGTCTGGTAGTCATTTGTGTATCGACATTGCTCTTTTATAGTTTGGATAGAAGTATGTGGGACTGCACCCACAGGTTGTGGGTTGCTTGTAGTAATAAAAAATGTATCGCGTAGCAGTGTACCTTATAGTTTTGTTTATAGAACTTTTTTAACTCTTGACATTAAATGTATCATGATACAGTGTTTGTTAGCTATTAATAAATGCTATACACGCCTATCCAAATCTACGTTAGCGTTCTATAATTTATTTTAACATCTTTATGCAGTCAACTAACGGACGATTTTCGTGCAAAAATCAAGTATTATGCAGTGAAACCATAATAACTACCGATACAATTACTTCTGATATTGCACGTCTTACAACAAACATTTGTGTAGTAGTAAAACAGTGGGAACGCTATACACTGTTGTGAAAGGCTTTTACCACCGTAAGATATCGCTAATTTTTACACCGTTAATATACGTTAAACGAGGCGTATTTAACTACAAATCGTGTGTAATCGTTGCTATTTCAATAATCATGAGTTTATTAAGTCATTGAAAATTGATAAATTCTGAAAAGGTTATAATTACTGATGGGTGATTACTTGCAAATTGCTTCAACATGCCTTAGAAACTTCCTGGCATTAAGTAAATGATGTTATCAGTAAAGTGGAAAACAGTTATCAAAATATTCACTAATTTAATTCTTTTGTGAGATCTCCACAGCAAATTGTGATACATATTTTCAAGGAAAATTAAGTGCCATAATTATGTTTATGTAGCGCTGGTTCAGTGGTTAAAGAATCCATATTTTGATTATTAGGTGCCAAGTTCATAACCCGCTCCACCTACGTCTGTTTTATCAGCTGGATAGTACCACTAGTTACACAAATAGGGTGGCTCAAAGTAGAGTTTATAAATATGTACCTTGCATGTGAACTTAGGTTTCATTAGTTCTATTAATCTATGATTGACCAGACCACTATTCTTTTGCTTAATTGGGTAATTAATATTTCAATCAATTAGGGGTGGAAATGACAAGATGTTATAATATCCTTTTTATTTTTTACTTGAACTACTTTTATGTAGTGATGCTCTATCAGCTCTACCACTCTGTAATGATGAAAGTAAGCTTTCTGATGATTCAAACCATGAAAGCTTATCAAATTTCTCTATGTTGTCCAGTAATTCGGCACAGACTGTGTAAGTTTTAGCTCTCATATTCTTCGTTTTATTTCTATCATGTCATTTGGTATTTGCTCATTTTTAAGGAAACAGATTTTAACTTTGTTAAGAAATACACCATTTAATTTTGGATCATCATTAGATTTCAGAATATGCATACAAATTTTCAATAATAGTAAGTATTTTACTGAGAGCATTAGCAATGGGTAAAATCAATAATATTTCTGCATAGTTTACTAACTCGACCAAACATTTTATCATCCACTATTTGTATGCAAAAGAGTGCAACATAACAATATGTGACCTATGTAACTAGGCACATCTATTTTATATTATTAGTTTAACATATCAAAAGTTTCAGAATTTATGGGCCAAAGAAATATCAAGTTTAAATCCAATGGTTCAGTAATAGAATAATAAGTAAATGTAACAACTTTCCATTTAAGAGCCCATTGAATTTTACTCTAATGCAAATTTTGACTTTTTGAAAACTGGGTCAAATAATTCAAGAGAGCCGTGGTGTAATTTTCTCATCATCAAAAAGATTGATTTAGTTCAGTTTTTTTTATTTCGTTGTATTAAATTCATATCTTTAAAGTAATCAGTTCATATTTTATTACATCACCTTACTTTTTAAAAAAGTGCTTTGTTCTTTAAGCTGGATGGTACAATCGTGAAGCTTTCATTGTTTTTCTCGATAACATCATCGGAGTTAAGAAGAGTTCCACAAAAAAAAACACTAGAAGCGTCACAGTTAAACCATCTAGCTAAGAGAACGAAACGTATTCAAAATTCTCATCCTGAGCTACAAATTCTCTTCACTATTGCTTTGCATACATGGCATGTATGTGTAATATAGTTAGACTAAACGAAGTGAAGTATATTGTAGCAGATTACTGGGTTATTCTGAGTTACTAGAATTCTTATTAACGGAGTAGAATAAAACTAATAAAATTTTTAATTCAAAGTAGGAAAAAGTTAACCAAGTATTCTATGTTTCAAGTAAATACTCAGTATTCTCTTATGTAACTTTCTACAACCTCTGGTCCGAGCCATCTTTATATATAAATATTACTACCATTGAAGTAACTGCATCTATGAATTTGATGTTCATCTTGTTGTGCTAATGAGGTGTGGCAACTTGGACCGATGTATATATGTGCCTAGTCCTACGTTGTAGCTAACCGACTATGTAACTCTCAATTTACATGATATGGTATAATCGTCATTAAAGTGCTCCTCCCTCTCTCATATATATATATATATATATATATATATATATATATATATATATATTGGTGGTTTCAGAGTTTCAGCGTTCGAAATGAACTTTAATTTGCCTAGAGAGTTTAAATGTGCAATTAGTTTTTGAAGTCTGCCTATTAAATAATGTATTTCTTTAATATTTCCGTTTAGTGCTAATACTTTTGTCTCGATGGTTGATACAAACTCTCATTTGTTTGATAACATTTTGAAAGCTCCAACGTCGTCGGCTACACGATTAGGTGAAGCGTCTTTAACTTACCTGAATCAAGGTAAATATTATCACTTATATTGGTCTTCGTTCTATTGTGTTGATTCAGTTTGTCCCGATATTATTGAAAACGCATATTATCTGCCACATATACTTTTTTCCAATCATTTGCTCTTCTATAAAGATTAGTTTTATTCCTTTCACACGATTCCACTCTTTGGACAAGTCATACTGTTTCTATTGGGAGAGTACAGTGAGAAATAATCATAATACTGTTGTAAAAATGGAGACATTTTCTACATTGTTTCTAACAAAATGTTAAGTAGTTTCTCAATTAACAGATATAGTCTTAAACAGCTATAAAACACCTGTAAAATATTTAAAACAAGTTTACCGTTGTGTATATTGGGAAGTCGTATGATGCTGATTAAGGAAATGACCATAAATTTGTTATAATATATTCAAAAAAGTTATATTACAGTTATATATCCAAATTAATAATCCGAAAAATTGGCCAGGTTAAAGGCAAAGTACATAGTTTAATGCCAGTATAAACCAATCTTTTTCAATTATTTATGGGGTCAGTAATTTTTTGCCTAAGCTTGTCAGGCTTAAAGTCCTTCAAACGGCGGAGGCAGTAGCCATCAGAATGAAGAAACCTGAGCTATGTGTACAGAAGAAATATCTCCAACCTCTACTTCTCCCTTGGCCAACCACAAGGCCAATTAATGAACAATCATCTTAGCTATTGTATTACCTAATTTGACTATGTACTTACCTTTCGTAGTCAAATGTAATTGTCTCTTATCTTTATTCACAAATCTTTGTATTATTATTATTATTATTATTATTATTATTATTATTATTATTATTATTATTATTATTATTGGTTAAATATCATTATTAATCCCCCCTAAACATGATTCATTCACATCGCATTGATCCCTCCTTATTACGTCTCACTAATTTTTCACACATTTAGTCTTCCACTTGATCGAATTGTGATTGCACTATCATATCTCTCTCACCCTATCTGACCCATATTTATATTCTGATCACAGATCTTAAATTTTCATTTTACGTATATACAGATTCAAGTTAACATTCTATATGAGTCAATATCAACATTAACTATTTGATTTGACATTCTTAAATTTACATGCATTAAGCGATGTACTTTGCCTTTAACCTGGCCAATTTTTCGGATTATTAATTTGGATATATAATTGTAGAACCTGAAGAGAATTTATCGAAAAGAATATTCTTCGTTCAAATATTAGTCTTTTAATACGATTGGGATTTTTAAACGATTATATTACAGTGTAAACATTTATGTCAATAGCTTACGTTTATAATTGTTTGGCAAAGTTATGCTGTAATTTAACCAGGGATTAACAGTGTGAAACATAGCAAAAGTGGTTATCATTTCTAGTTGTCACAATTTGTGACCATCACACTTATAGTATGACTCAAAGCCATATACATAGATATATGTAGATGATGAATAAATTGTAATAATTTTGTATCCGAAGTAGATTAAACTTTGGGTAACTTTCTGAAACTATTTATAGACTTCATATAGTGTGGGCTGAAATTGCATTCTGGATTCAACGGGCAGGGCTAGATAAGAATGACTCTAAGCTGCTCGTGCTGGTTAACGCGTCGTTGGTTTGGCACGGGAACAAGGTCATGTAAGTCGGTATTATGATGAGCGATCTTGTCACGTGATAATTGACGGGAGAGAAAGTCATAACAAATTTCATCAGTGAGTTTCTCACCATTGACTTCCATGATTCAACCGATCACAGATTTTTTACCAGAACTTTCAGTAGCTTCATTTCAAAGATAACTGGTCACTGAAGAATATAGCGCAACTATTATTTATGCAGCTGATTTGTGAACATCTCCATAATTTAAAGATAATTCTCATCACGAACTATCGTTAGATAATAAATATTTCAAAGTTATAAGTGGATAACCTGGGCTACATCTATTGACGTGATACACGTTAAAATACATGATTCAAAGCATATAAATTTGTTTACATATCTACATATATATAACTTATCCTTTTGGTAGTGTTAAGTTCTCCGAGCTGGATAGTTTAGTTGCGGAGCTTTCATTGTCATTCTAGACATATTCAGCGCCTACTTCATTTAAACCATCTAACTCGGAGAATTCAACACTACTAAAGCATTCTCTTGAACTAAAACTTTACTTTATAGTCCATTCTTTCATGTTCAACCCATACTTATATTCTTATAATTATTTACAGGACAAACGTATGAGCTTAAGTTAAACTCGAAAACACCGGAGATAAAATTTATCAAGGTAATTTATCGTGTGTATATATATATATTTCATATTGTTTTAAAACTTCATGTTCGTCATTGGTTGCTATGGTTTATATTTTTTCCGTTGATGACATTTTGGACTAAATCCAATCAGTTTAGGTTTACACATAAGCGCTTGAAGTGGAAACCTTGATATCGTCTTTCTCAACAAGTTGATTATATGTTTGGATGATAATTTTCAGTGGGTTTCATAACGTGCGTTCATTTCATTCATTGAGACCAAGCTATGACATCTAGTACAATGTGACGCCTACATGGGTTAGCCCTGATTTTAGATAAACCAATGAATTTGTTCTTTTTGAGTTCGTATCCACACTTATTTTGACCTTGTCAGTTTTTCGCTTATAACTTCATTTGAGTGTATGTTTGTGTATCAATGACTCTATTCATCATGTCTTTAGCTTTTTTTTCTACCTGACCATTGATAGTCACGCTTTGTCAAATTGAGTTGACACACTTACCTTTTCCTCACTTTCGTATCCCTCACCTTGGTGTCTGTACGAGTAGACAAGTGACTGAAATAAATTCTTCCAACTTAATTCGTATTTGGCTTTTTATTACCGCCGTCGCCCAAACGAGGTTAGTCTATCTACAATATTCGAAATCAAATGGAGAATTTATATTCATGGTTTATCAGTTAATTCGTTCATAATAGAATCAGATCGCGGGCTTATAAAACTAGACATGGCATTACTACAATCCACTTGGATATTTGTTGTGAATGGAAATAGGATGATTGAGAGCGATTTTTCTAGTACCCAGTGGGATATATGCTAGTTGGATAGACCGGACGAATAATACACAACACGGTAAATGTATACTATACTGACGACCTTGGGAGACTTAAAAGCTAATCAGGAAACGCTACATAATTATGAAACAATAATAAAAAGAAATATAACAGTGGGATAATATTTTTGAGCTGAATAATTAACACTCATATGTCAGATTATCCATTGTAGTAAAGAAGAAAAGGTCAAGCTCACATATTAAGAGTCGGGCTAGTGTTGTGAGTTGGGGTTATCACTCCATAGAGTTTTTGTTACCAACTGTCATCAGTTATGGTGCATAAGGTTAGGGTTAGATATTAAGAATCAAACTGGGGTTTTGAGTTGGTTTTACAAATTAGGGTTGGGGTGTCCATCACGAATCGACATCAGCTCTAATACAATGATTTCATACTTCTGTTTGCGAACTTAGGTTTGAAAATTAGAGTAAAAGTTCTTCAATAAACTATATTGATTACACATTGAATCACATCAAACACTTTAACACACAATCTGCCTTGGGACATGTATGCTTTGTAATTTAGCGTAAGCACCATCCTAAAGGGAGAAATTCATCATTTCATTTATTTCCCTTGTTTCATTCGAGCAGTGGGGTTAGGCAGGGTTGCCCGATCTCACCATTCCTCTTCAACTTTGCCATAGATGACATCCTGGAAACAGCTCTGATGGATGTAAGTAATGGCGGTGTGGATATGTTGCCTGGAGAACGACTTTTCGACCTCGAGTATGCGGATGATATTGTCTTACTGTGCGATAATGCCCAAGGCATGCAATCCGCACTTAATCAGTTGGCAATCAGTGTCCGCAGGTACGGCATGTGCTTTGCACCCTCCAAGTGCAAAGTACTCCTACAAGACTGTCAGGATTCTCATCCTGCACTCACCCTGGATGTTGAGCAGATTGAAGTAGTTGAGAAGTCCGTGTACCTAGGTAGCTACATAAGTGCTGGTGGTGGCGTGAGTGATGAGATTGATGCACGTATAATGAAAGCCAGAGCGGCTTATGCCAATCTGGGCCATCTTTGGCGCCTTCGTGATGTTAGTCTGGCTGTAAAAGGTCGGATGTACAGCGCGTCGGTGAGAGCAGTTTTGCTCTATGCTTGGTGTAGAGCCATGATGACCAATTATTTGGAAATAGCTCGATCTGTTCTTTTTACCGAATTTCTGGTGAGCTACTTCATGCTATTTGAAGTATACAGTTTCGCGCTGATCTATTGTTCTCATTTTTTCTTTGTAGACATGGATTCGAGTTACTTTCTATGACAAACAGATGGAATTAAATGAACACGAGCATTGGGATAACTGGCATCAAACACACCCTGGTGAAAACCGCATAGACGTAGGTGAGCGTAATATTATTTCAGATTTCTACCTAAAGTTGTAAAATGTTTGTGATTTATTGGCGTACATGGTGCTTTTGCATCTTCTTTAAGGTGTAATTTCCATATATCCTTTTGCTAAACATATGTGTTCTCAATTTATTAACCGAACAAACATAACTGATGTGCGCTAGACGATGAGTTTGATGTAAGAAATCTTTATTCCGGACTATACAGCCAATCACCATCAAATATTACAAGTGGTCCATACAAAATTAGAGCTGTTGTTTCATTGTTTTGACATCGTACTTTTAACTTTCGGATCATGTATCTAACTGACTATCTATTTTGATCGATATGCAGAAACGTAGATAATGTATAGCTGGGCAAAATTGGTTGTTGATCCAAGTCACCATTCTTTACATTAGCATAAGGTAATATGATGAAAAGCAAATGAATACTATACCAATGGTTGTGTCCTCAGTAACAGAACAAGAATGCCGGATAGCACAAGGGCGATGGCTACATTAGGTTTTAGCCGTAATCACGAATGATAGGTTATGGTGTTTTAAGGACTGCATGTTTTCTAACTTAAAACCAATTGGTTGCTTAAATTACTGTCCACTTCCTAAACACTTCGTAAACATCTCTTAAAAGTTTAAACGTACACAGAATAACGTAATTGTATAATTTTCATAGTTTTCATCATTTGATTTTAATTAACTTATATAACCTGGTCTATTTCACGAGTTAACCAACTTGGATCAACTGGCTTTATAAAAACCGCTTACATGCATTTGCTTTGTTTCATATTGTCTGTACATTACTTCATCTTGCAGTAGAACTGAAAACCCAAAACATACCATCAGTCATTTAAGTTATTCACTGTTGATCTGAATCATATCGAGTGGTATAGATTTTTTTAGCTTGGGTTTGTGAAACCTCATTACACTTATCCTTTATCACCTATGTTTTTTTTCATTACAATGGATATTATTATTTCGAATAGTACAGAAAGTTCTATGTGACTTACACTGCCTTCTATGTTAAATTAAAAATTAGTAAGTATAATTTCACTCATCTTGTTTAGTAAATCCCTATTTTTTCTTCCTGAAAAACCTACCTTAAAGATTATAAAAGATCAAATGATTATGAAGAATTAGATAGTGAAAATACTCCATCAGATGATATATTATGTATATGGAAATATCCGAAATGTACCATTGGTTTACGATTTAATTGTGTCAGTACTGAGTTTACTGCTAAGAAACACGGTGGTGAAAAAGGAATTCCTTTTCGATTTCGGGTAAGTTGGTTTTTATTAGTTTAAGGGGTTTATACAGATAGCTGATTTGTTTTGTTTTGTTTAAAAATTAGTCATAGACAACCACTAGAAGCCTGGAAGCACTAGTCTGTTATTTCATCTTTGTGGAGGATTCCTCAGCCCCATCAGGAATCAAACCTAGAACCTTTGCATCTCAAGGTGGGTGTTAATCTATAGACTACTGAATTAGCACCCAGTGATTCATATTATAGCTTCAATCAATCCACGAGATTGTGCGTGACTTTTTTTCGAGGGGTGATTCTCAGAGATCTATTGAGAAACTGTATTTGATCAGTAGAATTCAACCATGTCGGACGTGAGGCAGTGGTTTGTCAATAGCATTGGTTGATAGTTGAACAGTATTGCGAATTGGTTAAAGTTGAATCATTAAATTCAGGCTAATTAGTTTAAATTTTGAGTTCTCTCAGTAAAACCTGTTCTTGGGTTCGACCTCCAGTCGAGTCGTGAATATGTACTGCTAAGGGGATCCCGTATTAGGACGAGATTGTACAATAATTCTTGGCTTTCAGTAGTTGTTTAACTAAGGTGGGCCAGTGATTTGAACTATGAAATAAGTCTATTCTGTTTAACTTTTGCAATTTTATTTCTAAACAAATTCCCCAAATGCCGTGGTACGGCCGAGAGTGGGGAGAGTCACCTCTCCCTCTCGAAATGCTCTCATATGGCCAGCGAATATATAGCCTCTGCCAGGGAAGTCCTACTCACTGCCTTCTCGTGGCGGGGGTGTTGTTTACGAAAGTGAGAGGACGAAAAGCGAATGTCCGGCGCTTTAACCGGGTTGGTGGACACGGAGAGTCCACCTAGGGGAGTTGGAAAACCCTGATTCCAAACCAATGGTGCACATGGGCTCCAGTATCCTGATGGATCGAATGGCGGACGAACCTGTCATTGGTCAACGGCTACCATGGGACTGCATCTCCTCACGATGCTCCACTGCCTTGTGGATCAGACCTTTTGGTCAAAAGCTCGAGGTGTGGCCCCCTGAGAAAACCACCTGCTTCGGTTTGGGCACCCGGGCAGTATCACAGCCCACACACACAAATAAATGAACTGATGAATTCTATTGATGATACTATTCCTGCTCATACTAAAAGCAAGACAATTTACATTATTATTATTATTACCTTTATTATTATTATTATTATTATTATTATTACTATTACTATTACTATTATTATTATTATTATTATTATTATTGTTATTATTATTTACCATATCGCTAACTCACCCCCTTTTATCCCCAATTTGTGTAACCTTCCTTTCCAACTTATGCATTAGCTCGCCCATGGTGGAAAATCTGTCCTATCTAAACGATCTCCAGTCACTGTTTGGTTGAAAGTGAATGCTTCCACCGATTATGAATACTGAAGCAGTCTTTCTGAAACCACGTACGCCGTTCAAGCTGGCTTCCTTCAACGTTCGCACACTAATGCATATCAGACAACAAATAGGGCTAGCTATGTCTTTGGAAGGTCTTAATGTTGATGTTTGCTGTCTATCCGAGACCCGTATTCAAGACTCTAGTGAAGTACTACAAATCCGCTCTCCATCTGTCGCTTCGAAAAGCTTGTTCCACGTGCGCTTATCCGGGGACTCTGTGGCATCTTCGTCTGGTCTTGCAGGCGTTGGTGCTGCACTAAGCGCTAGGGCTGAGGCAGCACTAATCGATTGGATCCCCATTAACAGTCGGTTATGTGCTGTTAGATTAGAAAGTTCCATCAAAGTGAGAAGAAACCGGCGTGAGAAACGGTGTCTTTTCGTCATCTCCGCCTATGCCCCGACAGATTGCAGCCCGGATGCAATCAAGGATGAGTTTTACCACCAGTTAACAGTTCTTCTCCAGAAAGCGCGTTCGACAGATATTGTAGTACTAGCCGGAGACTTAAATGCTCAGGTCGGGTGTCTAGGCACAGAAGAGAGTCGTTTAGGTGACCAATGGGGACTTGTTGGTCGCAGGACAGATAACGGTGACCGTTTGCTGCAACTGTGCACAGACCACAACCTGTTTCTGTCTAGCACTAACTTCCGGCACAGTCATCGCCGGTGTGCCACCTGGCGTCCTCCCTCTGCATCCCAAGCCTGGACTTAGATTGATCACATCGCGATCAGCTACTGCTGGCGTGGTTGTGTACAAGACTGCCGCTCCTTTTGGAGTATCTATCTGGAGTCTGATCATGCCCTGGTCATCTCACCTTACTTTTCAGTGGCCGAAGGATTGACCACCACCAACGGATCGATGTTAGTAAACTGGCTGCAACATCTGTTGCAAGTAAGTATCGAGCGGAGTTAGCCTCTAAGCTAACTACCATCCCAATGAAAAGTCTAGATGAGCATTGGTTGCACCTTCACGACGCCATGAAAATGACGAGTAAAGCCGCTTGCGACTTCGCGAAACGTCCCGCTTACAAGCACTGGGTTTCTTCTGGCTCCTTACAACTGATGTAAGCCCGTCGGTCTACTCCGGGTGACCGTGAGTTTGACCACAAACGAAGGCTGTTACTTAATGAAATCGGGCAAAGCTTGCTTAAGGACCGGGAAGCCTGGTGGTCGGAGCATGCTAATGAGACGGGATGCCAATCACCAATATCTGTCGACGTCTTGGACGATGGGCGGAATTTTTCGAAGGGCAGTTCAACTGGCCTGCTGCTCCGGCAACATCAACCAGTTTGTCCTGCCCCCCATGGCCGGTGACGACTGTTCCACCAAACGAGGCGGAAGTCCGCAAGGAACTCCAACTCTTGAAGCGCCACAAATCACCGGGCCCAGATGACTTACCTCCGGCTCTTTTTAAAGATGGTGGTGACTTTCTGGCTAAGGAACTGACTGCATTGTTTGCAAAGGTTTGGGAGGAAGAAAGTGTTCCAACATCATGGAATGAGTCGATAGTCGTCCCTATCTTTAAAAAGGGTTCACGTTGTTCCTGTAACAACTATCGGGGATAAGTCTACTTCCGATTGCGTCCAAACTATTGGCTTCTGTCATTCTTCGTAGGTTGTTTAAAACCCGAGAACGATTGACTCGCGAGGAGCAGGCTGGTTTTCGTTCTGGTCGAGGATGCATTGATCACATCTTCACCCTCCGCCAAATGTTAGAACACCGTCATACTTATCGCAGGCCAACAATCGTAGTGTTTCTTGATATCAGGGCGGCTTTCGATTCGTTGGACAGGACTGTTCTCTGGGATTGTCTATTGAAGAAGGGTGTGCCTGAGAAGTTGATTAACATCTTAAAGGCCCTGTATACGAACACCTCAGTCAGAGTGAGGGCATACAACCACCTTTCTCCCTTGTTTCATTCGAGCAGTGGGGTTAGGCAGGGTTGCCCGATCTCACCATTCCTCTTCAATCTTGCCATCGATGGCATCCTAGAAACAGCTCTGATGGATGTAAGTAATGGCGGTGTGGATATGTTGCCTGGAGAACGACTTTTCGACCTCGAGTATGCGGATGATATTGTCTTACTGTGCGATAATGCCCAAGGCATGCAATCCGCACTTAATCAGTTGGCAATCAGTGTCCGCAGGTACGGCATGTGCTTTGCACCCTCCAAGTGCAAAGTACTCCTACAAGACTGTCAGGATTCTCATCCTGTACTCACCCTGGATGGTGAGTAGATTGAAGTAGTTGAGAAGTTCGTGTACCTAGGTAGCTACATAAGTGCTGGTGGTGGCGTGAGTGATGAGATTGATGCACGTATAATGAAAGCCAGAGCGGCTTATGCCAATCTGGGCCATCTTTGGCGCCTTCGTGATGTTAGTCTGGCTGTAAAAGGTCGGATGTACAGCGCGTCGGTGAGAGCAGTTTTGCTCTATGCTTGTGAAACCTGGCCTCTTTGAGTTGAGGATGTTAAACGTCTCTCTGTGTTCGATCATCGTTGTCTCCGAAGGATTGCTGACATCCAGTGGCAACACCATGTTAGTAATGTAGAGGTTCGGCATCGTGTGTTCGGGTGCAGAGACGATAATTCAATTGGTGTCACCATCTTGAAACACCGACTTCGGTGACTTGGACATGTTTTACGAATGTCATCCCAGAGACTTCCACGTCGTGCATTATTTGCCGACCCTGGGACTGGTTGGAAAAGGCGGAGAGGAGGTCAGTGTATGACATGGTGTCGTGGCATGAAAGAAAGCTGCAAAGGGCTAGCTTCTGTTGGACCTTCACGACTCCCTGACTGGGGTCCGAGAGATAGTGCAACACAGTGGCTAGAGACGTTATCAGATATGGCTCAGAATAGAAGCCAGTGGCGATCCTGCTGCAACCTTCTTTTACTTTCTACATAAAGAATGGTTCTAACTTTCTTAACTGAAAGAGTCTTCTGGTTGTACATTTTAGTCCGCGTTATCTTTTCATCCTTTCCCTTCCTACTTTCATTATTTTGTGTAGCGCATATGTATCTGGTGCCCTTTTGTACCAATATATGTGTTTAAATAAATAAATAAATCTCTGCTGATCATTTATCTCTATTCTTTTGATCACTGTTAATCTATCCGTCTGACAAAATCTCTGCACGGATTCAAAAAGCTCGTTCGGGTTTTTTCAACTTACTTCACCTATGTCAAAGACGAGATAGCCATATATCAATTAAGGGATGACTATACTGTGCAGAAGTTCGTTCTGTTTTGGTTTACGGCTGCGAAACGTAGCCATTAAGGGTTGACAATACTCGTGAGTTACTAGTATTTGATCACAGATGTCTTAGAAATATTGCTCGCATCTGCTGGGATCACTGTTTAAGTAATAGTGAGGTTAGATGGAAAGTATTAGGGGACGATGGTAAATCAGTTGATGAGGTTGTGAATCTTCATCGACTGAGATGGTCGGGCCACATATTGCGTATGCTCAACTACCGACTACCACGACGCACAATGCTGACTAGTGTTGGAGATGGGTTGAAGAAAGTTAGGGGCGGTCAAACCAAAACGTGGCATCAGTGCTTGATGTCACTAACTTCTAGTCTGAGCTATGTTGGTAGATTCAGATTACTTGGTTGGGGTCCGCGTGACTATCATAACTGATGGTTAGAGATTCCGGTGACGTGACTCAGAATCGATCACAATGGCGCAGGTGTATACACTCTTAATCTTTCCTTAAACTTTGAGAATAAAATTGCCTTATATGTCTTTCTTCATGTACTATATCCTTATGTACAAACTTTCTTTTATATATTACCACCACTAAATTAACTACTATGAATTCGGTGTTGATCTTGTTGTGCTAATGTGGTATGGCAATCACAATGGCGCAGGTGTATACACTCTTAAACTTCCCTTAAACTGTGAGGTTAAAATTACATAACTTTCTGTGAACTAATTCTTTCTCCCTGTATTATATCCTTATATTTGATCTTTATTTATTAATACAACTACTATTGAAGTAACTGCGTCTATGAATTCGATCTTCATCTTGTTGTGCCAATGAGGTGTGGCAACTTGGACCGATGTATATATGTGCCTAGTCCTACTTTGTAGCTGACTGACCGACTATCTAATCGTTTATTTTAATAGTTTAACTCGTGGATTATTTTTAAAAAATCTACAGGTAGAACATTTTGAATATGATACTAACCAACATTTGGGCTCATTCGCTTGTCAAATTAAAGTATTTAAAATGAAAGGAGCTGATCGTAAGCATAAAACAGATCGAGAAAGAATAGAACGTAAATCTGGTGATGATCAGGTAAATATATTTTGAATATAATTTTTAATTTTTCGATTTTAACCTTCACCTTTTACTTTCGATAGTGTAATAAGATGAAGATTATCAGAACTATGTGATATATTATAAGCAAAGATGGACTGTGGCTAGCAGTAGAATCCAGGACGCGCGTTTCGTCCTATTTGGGACTCGTCAGCTGGATGTACCTGCATCTCAGAGTTGACGTTCAGTCTGGGATATATTAGCGCAATACATTTCTAACAATCTGATCACACATATACTTGTTAAGAACTTTTATATATAAAAATGAAAGGTCAACTAGACTGGAAAGGGCGGTAGAAGGAGACAAGGAAAATAATAATAATAATAATGTGGAAACAATTTGAAAACTAATCACTCTGGCTAATAAGCTAATATTACCAGGGTAGATTTAAGGTGAGAGCAAACTGTTCTTGAATACACAAAGGGGGTTTGAATTTTCTTACTAATTATTTGTTCTTCTCTATTATGTTTGTTATACAACAATGTCAAAATAAACTCTGTAAAAATCTGAACCTCATATACAACAAAGTTAGTTGTTTAAATGTCAGTCAATTATATTCGACTTATAAGGTAGAATAAATGTGCATCGAGCCGAATCGCCATACATCAATACAGCAAAATGAAATTTTAAGGATAAATAACAAAGCAGTAGTAGTGGTACTAGTTGTTCTATTTTTAGTAACAATATATTCACCAGTGACTAGCTTCAAGATGCAACTCTCTAAGTTCCACTGAGAAACCATGATCAATGGAGTTCAACAACCATGTCGGACGTGAGACAGTTGTCCACCTCAGGCATTGTATGAAGATTGCACATTATTGTGAATTGATTGAAGTTAGACATTAACACCATTAGATGTTGGGTCAGCGGTCTAGAGTTTTAGCATTTGCATGCGATACCTAAGGTCCTGGCTTCGGATCCTTCATGTGACATTGTGAATGCTCAATGTTGGGACGAAATGGTCGTCTAGTGCTTCCCGTTTTTCACTGGCGGTCTAGCTGAGAACAGTTCGTGATTTAAAGCTATGCAAATTCCACAGTATCCACAAATTCCCCTATTTTAATAATTGTAGTTCTACCATTGTTAACAAAAGATGACTAGACACAGAGAATATGATTCAAGAAGAATGATTTAGTTCACAGAAAAATAGGCATAAAATAATTTTGAAACTCATAATCTAATAGTGCGTATAACTACTCCACTGCGACTAATTGTGAATCATCTCATTTTATTATTGTAAGCAATCAATATTATTTTACGTTATCTCCAGGCTATTTATAAACCATCAGTTCCTGTGACTAAATTGTCATATTTACCTAGCAAGCAAGTTAAATTATTTCATAATCACCATCATAACCATGGTCATTATCAATCGATAACGGATAAGCAGCCGGCGATCGGCGATACTTTTGCAGAGCAATCGATAAAAGTGACAAATACACAAATTCTTACCACTTCTGCTACAACAGCCGCGTCGGTTTGCAATAATTCATGCCAGCAATTTAAAGTAGATATGGGCAGTTTGGATTTACAGAAGTAAGTTTCAATTTCACAATTTGTTACTAATTAGTTTCATGGAAATCCTAGTTTTCTTTTGTATTCGAGTCATTGAAGCATTTTATTTACTGTCATTGATATCCTCTTCGATGGTAGAAAAAAGTCGCAACTGATCATCGTTTATGAGACAAAATTGGCTTGAAATCTAAAGATTTACCGCTTCATTATGTGTACCGGATTTTAACACTTTACTCTGGTTTCATTAATTTCCGTGTGGTTTTATTTGAATAAGCAGTTGTTTGAAATGTGATCTTAACTTATTCCACCCAACTGTTTATCTATTATCCACAATAATCATATGAGGGTGATCACAGATTGGGGTGTGGGTTAGTGGTTGAGAGGTTTGACTTTCAGCCAGCGAGTTCCCGATTCGGACTCCCATTGACCTACTTTGGTTTGGACAACCGGTTAATATTACTAGCCCTCACATTTAGAGTGTAGCTCGAATCCAAGTATACAAAGTTGAATCTGGTAAATGAGTTAATGATAATAAATAGGGTAAAATGAAACTATTACCAGTTTTTCCTTCCTTCCTTCCTTACTTACTTACGCCTGTTACCCCTTGTGGAGGAGCATAGGCCGCTCACCAGCATTCTCCATCCAACTCTGTCCTGAGCCTTCCTTTCCAGTTCTTTCCAGTTGCTATTCATCCTTTTCATATCGGCTTCTATTTCCCGGCGTAGTGTGTTCTTTGGCCTTCCTCTCTTCCGCTTCCCTTCCGGATTCCAAGTTAGGGATTGAGTCGTGATGCACATTGGTGATTTCCTCAATGTATGTCCGATCCACTTCCAACGTCTTTTCCTAATTTCCTCTTCAGCTGGAAGCTGATTTGTCCTCTCCCATAAAACGCTGTTGCTGATAGTATCCGGCCAGTGGATGTTGAGTATTTTGCGTAGACAACTGTTTATAAATACTTGTACCTTCCTGATGATGGTCGTAGTAGTTCTCCACGTTTCAGCTCCGTACAGTAGGACTGTCTTGACGTTCGTATTAAAGATTCTGACCTTGAAATTGGTTGAGAGTTGTTTTGAGTTCCATATGTTCTTCAATTGTAGAAATGCTGCCCTTGCTTTGCCAATCCTCGCCTTTACATCTGCATCCGATCCCCCTTGTTTATCAACGATGCTCCCCAGGTACGTGAATGTTTCCACCTCTTCCAGAGTTTCGCCGTCAAGTGTGATTGGGTTGGTGTTCTCCGTGTTGCATTTGAGAATCTTGCTTTTTCCTTTGTGAATGTGGAGGCCTATCGATGCGGAGGCTGCTGCTACATTTGCTGTCTTCATCTGCATTTGGTCGTGTGTATGAGAGAGGAGGGCTAGGTCATCTGCGAAGTCCAAATCATCTAATTGATTCTGAGAAGTCCATTGTATTCCGTATTTCCCTTCAGATGTCGAATTCTTCATAATCCAGTCAATCACTAGAAGGAAGAGGAATGGGGAAAGTAGACAGCCTTGTCTGACTCCGGTCCTTACTGGAAATGCATCTGTCAGCTGTCCTCCATGCACCACTTTGCACTGTAGTCCATCGTATGAGTTTTGGATAATGTTGACAATCTTTCCAGGAACTCCATAGTGTCGAAGAAGTTTCCATAATGTTCTCCTGTCCACGCTGTCAAACGCCTCATAGTCAATGAAGTTGACGTATAGTGATGAGTTCCACTCAACTGGTTGTTCAACGATGATCCTTAGTGTCGCAATCTGGTCTGTGCACGACCGATCCTTACAGAATCCAGCCTGATGATCCCTAAGTTCAGCGTCTACTGCGTCTTTCATCCGATTCAGCAGCACTCTGTTGAAAACTTTTCCTGGTACTGATAACAAACTGATGCCTCTGTAGTTCTCACATTTGCTCAGATCTCCTTTCTTTGGTATCTTGATGAGATATCCTTCTTTCCAGTCCGTTGGCACTTGTTCCTCTTCCCAAATCTTCTTGAATAGAAGGTGAAGCATATTTGCAGTTATTTCAATGTCTGACTTCAGTGCTTCTGCTGGTATATTGTCAGGTCCTGCCGCCTTCCCACTTTTGATTTGTCTGATAGCCATCTTGACTTCTTCGATCGTTGGTGGAGTGATATCTATTGGAAGGTCAGTGTGGGCTGCTTCGATGTTCGGTGGATTCAATGGGGCTGGTCTATTCAGCAGTTCCTCGAAGTATTCTACCCATCTTTTCCTCTGTTCTTGAATCTCAGTGATTGTCTTTCCTTCTTTGTCTTTGACTGGTCTCTCTGGTTTGCTATATCTCCCTGCCAATTTCTTCGTTGTGTCATATAGTTGTTTCATATTCCCTTCTCTTGCAGCTTTTTCCGCCGCCGTTGCTAGTTCTCCCATATATTTCTGCTTGTCGGCTTCAATGCTTTTCTTCACTTCTCTGTTTGCTTCTGCGTAGTCTGCTTGTGCTTTGACTTTCTCTGCTCGTGTTCGGCTGTTGTTAATTGCTAGTTTCTTGTTCTTCCTTTCTTGAATTTTGTCCAGGGTTCCCATAGAGATCCATTCCTTGTGATGATGCTTCTTAGGACCAAGAACCTCCTGACACGTTGAAGTTAGTGCTTCTTTTATCCCTTTCCAGTTGTCCTCCAAAGTAGTTTCTTGTTCTTTCAGTAGATCCTGTAGAGCTTGGAACCTGTTGTTGAGAGTTATCTTGAATTCATGGAGCTTGTCAGTATCTCGAAGGAAGGCTGTATTGAACCTTTGTAATGCTGTTTGTCCAGTTGTCCAGTGTTTCTTTAGCTTTAGTCTCATCTTGGCCACAACCAGGTGGTGATCTGAAGCTATGTCAGCTCCTCTCCGGGCTCTCACATCTTCCATTGATCTTCGGAATTTTTTGTTGATACAGATGTGATCTATCTGGTTCTCTGTGGTGTGGTCCGGTGAGATCCATGTAGCTTTGTGTATACGTTTGTGTGGGAATATTGTGCCGCCTATAACCAATTTGTTGAATGCACATAGGTTTGCAAGTCTCTTCCCATTTTCATTTCTCTCTCCCAGTCCATATCGTCCATTTATAAATTCATATCCTGTGTTGTCCACCCCAACTTTAGCATTTAGATCTCCCATCAGGATTGTGAGGTCCTTTCGTGAGCACTTCTCTATAATTGATTGCAGCCTTTCATAGAACTGATCTTTATCATCGTCGTTGCTATCATTAGTGGGTGCATAACATTGGATAATGTTCATTTTGATCCCTTGCTTCTTTGTTCTGAATGATGCTTTGATTATCCTGGGTCCATGAGATTCCCATCCCACAAGTGCATTTCGTGCTTCTTTGGACAGTATTAGAGCAACTCCCTGAGTGTGTGTAGCATTTTCCCCTTCGTGACCGGAGTACAGCAGCATCTCTCCTGTACCTAGCCTTTGTTGTCCAGTTTGTGTCCAATGGGTTTCGCTGATTCCGAGTACTGCCAAGTTGTATCTTCTCATTTCCATTGCTATTTGGCTGGTTTTTCCTGTCTCCCACATCGTCCGGACGTTCCATGTACCTATAAAGAGTGTTGCTCTGGTTGTTAGAAGGTGCATCGGTCTCGTGACTTCCGAAGAATTTCGGCTTTCATCATGAGACGTCATAATTATTCCTTCAACTCCCAGAGCAGAGTTTAAATGGTTTGAATTATTTTTTCTGGTTAGCATTTTTTTAGCGAGTTAGCTTTTCTACGGGATGGGGTCGCTAACCCCATGCCCAACCCTCCTCCTTTACCCGGGCTTGGGACCGGCAGTAACTCTAGAAGAGCTACAGGCGGAGTTAGTTTTTCCTACTTTTAATATATATTAAAATTTATTGAGTTAGTGAGAATAACTACAGCTACGCGCTTGACTTTCAGTCACAATTACTACATGAGGATTAGTAAAATGACTAAGTTCTAAGAATGCAAATAGAATATTTCATCATCTAGTACAATCCCTATGTTGACCGTTGTTAATGGTGTTTCATGAGGTATGAATTTTAGATTAAATCGATATAACTAATTTATGAAGTTCAAAATTCAGAAATCTCAGTTACATTTTGATAACTTGCTTCGGTTGTGGCTTTAGCTGAATCTCCTTCGCCAACAAAATGATGAGTGTGCTGTGCAGCATTCCGCTACGTATTACTCTATGGCTGTAAAATATAGTCTATTAAAGTAGAAGAGATGTTCAGGCTGCAGGTTGTTCACCGTAGGTGTCTTTAAATTATTGCTCGCGTTTCGTGGAATGACGTAGTATTCGATGCTAAGGTTAGGCATAAAGTACTAGGCAAACGTGCCAAATAAGTAGTGAATCTTTGTCGACTGAGGTGTATTTAAGTATATGTTAGACACACCTAACTACCATCTACTTCGTTGCGCGATATTATCTGGTTTAGGAATAATTTAGAAAAAAGCAAACAGTGGCTAATGTAAAACATTTCATCGGTCCATGGAGCCATCGAATGTCGAGCTGGGCCACTTAGTTAAGTGCACGCTGTCGGCTTGCGGTTTTTACAACTATCGTGACTAATGATTGGAGACGTTGAATAGCACGGCTGAGAATCCGTCACAATGGCGGATGTAAAGTTACATGTTATCTTCCTTTAGATATTGAGTTTTACAATTATTTACAATTATTCCGAGAGTTGATACCATTACACACTTTATATACACTAGCCTGGTCACCCAAACGAAAAGAAGAGTGAGAAAGGAATTTTATTCGGCCAAACCGAATCACATATCTGTGAGCCTATAAATGGTTTTTGTTTCATCCCTCGAAAATGAAAGCCATTTATTGACCCATCACGTGCATGTATAATCTGTTCATTTCTGATTTGCCCAATGCATCGAATATTGGCTATCATAGGCAAATGTAGGGTAATATGTTATCATCAAACTACTGAAGCTATGAATACTCCTACATACTCTTTAAAGAACTACCAGTATAGCGTATAACATACACACTCCTGGCAGTGAATGTGAATTTTTATGACATTAAGATATCTTTTTTCCGTAGAATCTGACTGTTTTTCCCTATTACAGTCGTTAGATAGTAACTGATAAGTATAACTGGTTTTATTTTTCTTAATTCTTTGGGCTCATCGAATTTTGTCTACCATGTATTTGACTGAGCATTTTTTTCGGGTGTGTATGGAGACTGTCAGTTCATCGAATTACTTAAGATTTGCATATCGCATTCCAATTATTTTTTCTATCGGTTATATCCATAGTTTGGCACGAGTCGAGAAGGCGGTGATGAAGGATAACTTTACACTAGATGATTTAAATGATACAAGTAACAACTTTGCAATACCTAACCCAATCGTATCACCTAGTGCTTCCAATCGGTCATTTTCGGAATTTGTTATACCTACTTACCCAATTCATCGTTCAGCGTATTCAGCGTTAAGAAATGTATCCCCCGGTATATCACCTTCTCCATCTTCTAATAGGCGTTTTAATTGTGCAATACAACCATGTCTTCAACGACGTAGACGTCTTCGAGTAGGAGACTGTTGTGCTGGAACTTGTTCATCATGTGGACGCAGTTGTCGAAGTGCTTCCCGATGGATACGAAGTAATAAAAATAGAATGATGTGCACAAACTGGGACAATTCAACAAATCGTGCCAAACAAGCTTCACTGATTTCAGAGAGAAGGCGAGCTGCACATAGTTATGAAAACGGTTCCCATTTGATTGAATTCCCAAAGGTAATTATCCCTTTCAGCGTAAGAATAAACAGTAATTCAATGAAAGTCGATTGTGTTAATGTTTTGTGTTTCTCAACACTGATATATGCCGTTTTGTACATTTTAACAACAGCGTATTAAGTGATCTCACATGATTTGTTAGCAATACAGATTTTCTTTACTCTTAGGTTTGTTCTCCTGATTGTATCGACTTTCATAGAGTCTCTCACTTAACCTTGGTTAAGTTTACTTATCCTACTTATTAGATTTGCTTATCATCCAGATTACTTATCTGACTATATAAGTCTTAATATCTCCGCGTAAGTAGTTCATTCTTGTCATGTATTAAATTACGGTAGGATATTTGTGGACACTATTCTTTTTTTTCTGTAAGCAGTTGAGGGACCACTGAAAATCAGAGGGCAAAGAGAATTTCCTGGTTTATTGAGTAATAGAGATTTATAGATACAGGCTAATATGAAACCGGCTAGAGCTAAAAATGTGAATCCCTAAATTCTGACTTAATAGCTTAAAGGTCTTGTTTTAGACCATGAATGCGTACACTATCGAAAAGTCTCACATGAGAACGAAACAGTTGTTTAATGCTCCTTAAATTTCTTTGGTTATCTAGTTGATTTTGAATGCTTCCAAATTATGCAAAGTTCCAACCTAATCATATTAATTTAATTATAAGCAGTTGTGAAGTTTTGCTACCGATACGCCTAAACTGCCTTTTTAACTGGTCCCTTTAACCCCAAATATTTATACACATCAACTGAAACAATAGAGAGAAGGTGCAAATCGCGAGTATATGCTTTACTCTAAGATTGATTAATGTTCATGTACAAAAAGTGAGGGTAACTTATAGAGTTTACACACAACCTTTGGTTTCTGAATATTTCTGGAACCGTACTAAATATAGTAGCAGTATAAGTAAATATCTCAATCGGGACCGTAACATGTGATTCCGTATTTTCTTAATGTTTCTACGGAGCTTTTATTCAAGTCTGAATAAATAAAACGTTTCCTGGCGTTTCTGGGTCTCTAGAGGTTTTGACGAGGAATATTTTTGTACTACTCACCACTAGTTATTATACCCTTACATATTTTTTAAACAATTTACATTTCTGAAAATTTTATAGGTTAGAAATGTATATGGTTTAAAGTAGTGTCCAGTTCCAATGAATATCACCGCTAACTAAGTTAACGTCATATCCAACTTGTGTACATAAATCTTAGTAAAATAAAGCATTTTTAAAAAATTTACCACGCAAATGAAACGACAGTACTGTGAGGGAGCAAAAAGTAATAGTATATTCCGTAATCAATAAATGAATATTAGTAATATTTGATAAGAGGTCCAGGTCACTTGTAAGTACACTCAAAGTATATTTCAACTAATTGAGATTGCAGTAAATAATCACATCAGGATCACCACTAGCTTCTATTATGGAACCGTAGCCGATGACATTTCCAGATATACTGAGCAGCACAATTTCTGGTACCGTGACCGGAGAGCCATTAAGGACTAACAGATCACATTCCTGTATAACTTTCATGAAACGGTGCCATGTCATAAACTGATCACATATATCTGCTTTTTCCGTCTAATTTCAACTTCTGACTGTTCAGTGGTGAGAACCTCAATAGACATTCTCACTCCTAGTCAGCACGAAATATTGTTAAAATATATATTTACTTACACTGAAGTATGTTAAACATGTGTATAATTTCAAGTATCCACAAATTGGAAGTCTCAGTATATGCTGTTAGACGCTGAATTTCACCACAAAGTTACACAGAATCCTACATCATCGTTACAAAACTTTCAACTTCTGTTGGGACGGCTCCCGGAAAGTGTGATGAAGCCTCCAGAGGCTTTAGAGAAGCCGTAGAGATCCCATTCAATTCCGATCCGACAGAGTCTTAGAATATTGACGTATGATGCTATGATTAGACGATTGTATAAACTTCCTGCTAACGAATTGCTTGGATTATAACGATGTTACAGCCTATACCAACAACTATAAATACAACTGTTTTTCTGTACATACTTGACACTTACTGCAGCAAACGCTTTTCTTGTAACAAACATAACAGTTTCATATCGAGTATCAAATCTTTCTTTGTTAGCTATTTTTTAACTTGTTCGATTTCATTGTAATTTATTTAAAAATTTCCTTCCAGCTACCGTATAGTTGAATTTTAATTCTATTTTCTTTCTTTCTTTCTTTCTTTCTTTCTTCGTGTGTGTGTGTGTGTCTATGTATTGTTTAGTCCAAATCGATTCAAATGAATGTTCCTTCTCACCAGTCAAATTCCATAAATAATAATCATCATACAGGAATATATGAGTTGAGTACATCAGGTGAATCGTCTAGTCTAGGAAATAATGATGAATTAAATAAATATACTATATTAGATAAATATGATGGTCAGAAATCCAAACCATCATCTATCACCCTACCTGATTATCCTCTTAATTCAGTAGTAATAGTACAATCGGATGAAGATCCTTTATTAAGCATGTCCAGTGCAACTCCAGCAAGTCGTGATATGGGTTATTGTAGTGATCTGTTAGTATCGTCACCTTCCAGACCTACTGTCGAAGACAGAGTCTTCGAACAAATTGAATATTGTACAGAGAACAATAATAATGATAATGATAATGTTCATAATAATAATAATGACGATTATGCAGAATTGTTGAAATTTGAAGATTTATGTATGGATAAATTAAACCATGTAGTTCATCAAGCTACATCATGTGATTCAATAGTTTCTTTGTCGAATAAACCAAAAGTTGAAATCCCTTCTTTATCATCATCATCATTGTCGTCAACATCATCATCAACTTCTGTCTGTCCATCGTCTATAAATACTTCTGTTGCTACTGTTAAACCCACTACTATTACTACCTCGAATATATCATCTGTAGTACATTGTGAAATGACAGCATCACAGGTTGCAGATTGGCTTTGTCAATCAAATTTTGAAAATCTTCTTGAAACGTTTAAGAATTTCACAGGTAATATTATTCAACATTGTTTTTTTAATTTTTAAATATCTGTATTGTCGTTAATGTCAGGTGTTTTTTTATTGTTTCGACAACGAGTTTATTTACGTCGTAGTTGTTGTCCTGCAACTACATCACTGAAATTAAATTTCAAATCTGATTAGATATAAGACTATCTGATTTATATATGTTAGTAGATGCACATTACTTGGTTAGGACTCGCGCGATAACTGGGGTTAAATTTTGGAGATTTTGGGTGATATGCCTCAAAATCATTCCCAACGATGCAGATACTTTCGCCTTTTTTCTTCCTATGGATCTTGAACCTTCGTTTTTCTACTTAGACTCACCGTTCTACTCTATCGTTTTGAAAAAAATATTCTCACTGTTTAGTCTTCCTCGAAACGTTTTTTTACTACAAAATTGCGATATTTTTTGATATTCTTCTTATTAATTTCAACTCGCTTGGTATGGCAACTTAGGCCAACGCACATTGGTTGTATGTAGTGAAGCCTGTATTTTTTTCATTGAAGAAGTTTAGTCTTGTCGACATTTATACATTACTAAACTTTTAATAACCAATAATTTAAGGTGCATAAACGTTTGGTTAATGCCTAACTACTTTGTTTCCATGATATTCCACATAACTAGTGATCTGTTTTCAAATTTTACTACCTGACAATGCCTTAATATATCAATATAATATTTAATCTCTGTAAATAATCAAATATCACCCACGATCCCACATGCGGGATTCAAACCGAGGACCTTCGGTTTCGAGCGCAAACACTTGAACTCTAGACCACTGAGCTGGCACTACTGAGGAGTCCCATGCTAAAACGGAACTGCCATCTAGTACTTCCAGGTTTTCCATGGTGGTCTAGCTTATATCGACTCATGAATTCAGCTATTAAAATTACTAAAATCTCCAAAAATCCGATTCTAAGAATAAAATATCAATTGAAATTAATACGGATTAATCATTCTGAGATAAATCTGGAGAGTATCTCCACTTGATAGACGGTTGGAAACCTTAAACCTAGGTTTTATTCTCTGGGCACTTTACGACTTGATCAATAGAATTCTGGGTCAGCACTAAAGGATTAAATAAACATGATCAATTAATTATAAATATTTCTAGTAATTTCAGTAATTACATCATTACTTAAAGATAAACTTGTATAGAAGTTATATAATTCCAATCATCTTATCAGTATATGATATCCAAACTTAAATGTGGTGGTCTTTTCTTGACTATGACTATCTAACTGTTGAAACCCAAATTTGCAAAAATTCTTATTCGGCTCTGATTTTCTCATTCTGTTGTATCCCGAAGAGAATTGTGAATGGTAACTTTTGAGAACTATTTGTGAACCAATGTAATATGTATATTTCCTATTGTTAAGTAACTAACCTAATCACATTCGTGCTCCTCTTATCATTAGCTATATTTTGACCTTTGAACTGTTATTATATGATTATTGAGTTATCATCAGTTTATTGATTACTTTCTCCCTATTTACAGCCACATTTGGCTAAATATTGTACAAATGTTATTTTTTATTTTATGTTACGATGTGGTCTGTTTGTGAATAATGATCCATATCACAGAGGCTGTTATTGGTGTTTTGGACTTAACTGGTTGGGCTAGGCAGATCACAGGACCGGTTAGCACTCTAGACTGCTCGTGGGGTTTCGTGTGTCACTGTTCCAATCGATAATTCGCTGCTCTCTGATTGGCGGTCTTATCACGTCACACATTAACTAGGCATCCACTCGGCCACAAGATATAACATGTTTAATTCCTGAGATTATCGTAAATGTTTTCCTTCAGTTTTTTTCTTTTTTTGTTTGTGATAGATTCGATTTTCTTTTAATTTTGTGTTTTTCTACCCTATCTCATTAGGTTGTGATATACTTCGCCTAGCTAAAGAAGATTTATTGTCTATTTGTGGATCATCAGAAGGTTTACGATTATATAACTCACTTTATAACAAGTAATTTAATTTGATACTCTTTTACATGATAAAGCAGTTTTAATCGATTATTGTCTGATGATGTTGGAAATATAAATCATAACTTCCTAGCTCAACAGTCTAACAACTAATTAATCTCTGCTAGATTATAGATTCGATCCTTAACAAGGTCATCAATTCATACTTCGTAGTAGTATTTTACTAAAACGAAACAACAGTTCAAATCTCGCTTGTATACAGTGGTACCTTGAGTGAGGTCAATCTAGCGTGAATACCATCTTCACATTGATTATTACTTCAGGGTGATTTTGTGGGTATTAATTTAGTTTGAAAACTGTTTTCATCTTAAGCTGAGATAAGCTAAGAAGAACAAGATTTATTTGACATGTTTTGTCCTAGTTCTGTAACTCCTCTTTAGTCCTTATCCGACATTTTTAATAGGCTACTTCATGTTATGTTCCTTTATTATTATTTATGACCATATGCTAGCTAGAAGGAAACAGCAAAAACAAATATGCGACAGAATTCTAATCAGCACCCTCCATATTTTGAAGTCCTGCTGTGTGACCTAGATTTCCTTTCAATTTTCAGTCGTTTTTCCGTACATAAAAAAAGTGACTGGATTGTTGGAAACATCTAGGAATATATAATTGGGTGACGTGGGTTCGAACCCACTAGGGAATATTAGTTCTCTAGAGACTGCACGTAGTCCTTGCTGGCAAGTACCTACTAGTACGAAACCTAGGTTAAACAGGGTTTCCTGACGACCACATCCAATCACCTAACTTCTCAACATAGTCTAGATGATGTCGAAACACTTAGACTAACAGCCACAGTGAAACTTAATCGATGAAATTCCATTAGCAGCACCAAAAGACTAGATAAGCATGATATTAGTCAACACTCAATGACCAAACAATTATAAAAAAACTTTTCAGTTGACTAGTCTATCTCAATTAAGCCAATTATTAAACGAAGAAAGCATAACCGTCCGTAGTGAGTTGATGAAGATTTGTAGCTCCTTATATGGATGCTTACTAGGTAAAGTTGAGTTCTTTGAGCTGAATAGTTTAATTGCGAAGCTTTCTTTATCGTGATGGACAACATCATTAGCACGCATTTCAATTATTATACAAATGCCTCGTGTAGTATGTTCCAATGACCTTGCTCCCAACTATTTATCTTCACAAAATGATTGTTTGTTCCAGTTTTGGTGGGGTTTTTTTTAAGCTGCAAAAGTGATAGTTCAGCATTCTAACAATTTATTTAGATCTTATTGTAACATGTGCAACGTTGAGCTTATGCCGTGGTGACTACGTCTATGACATCAACTTATGCCTATGTAAGTCGATATGGTGATTCGTTTGACATAATGCCTATCGTCCTCTTGCAATTGTAGCCGCTTAACGTCTCAAAGTTACAGTAATAACGTTTTAATTTTATTGTATTAATTTTAAAATCGGAAACTATTTAGGTAGTATACTGAATATAGATGTTTTATTATGATGTATCTTAACAATTATTAATCAGATGTTTTGGAGGTATTATTTATTATGTTTTCTTTTTTTTAAAAAAGACCTACAGTGCCAAGATGTACATTGTACGTTTGCTTGAAAGGAGAAACAAGTACGTTGTAGTGATGAGTTAATTTTTATCAATCCGTCTTTTATGTACTTATGTTTTTTTAAAAACTGAATATCGTAATGAGCTAGTTTGATTATAAATTTCCAAATAACTGAACTTAATCTGTCATAAAAATTTGCGATATAGTTTTGTCTACTTAATCATGATATTGCTATCCCATGTACTCACTACTATTACTTACTTTACTTACTTACTTACGCCTGTTACTCCCAATGGAGCATAGGCCGCCGATCAGCTTTCTCCAACTCACTCTGTCCTGGGCCTTCTTTTCTAGTTCTATCCATTTTTTGTTCATCCTTTTCATGTCTGTCTCTATTTCTCGACGTGATGTGTTCTTTGGTCTTCCTCTTCTCCTTTGGCCTGTAGCTCCTCCGGGGGCTACTGCCGGTCCTAAGCCCGGATAAAGGAGGAGGGTTGGGCATGGGGTTAGCGACCCCATCGCGTGGAAAGTCAACTAGCTAAAAAACGCCAACCAGAAAAAGGTTATTCAAACTCACTACTATTACTAACCTATTAATACATATGAGTAGTTATGTTATTGAAATATGGCTTTTGTTGAGATAAATTATTGGGGGTTTAATATTGGAAATGACATTTTTGAATATTCGTTGTTAAGACTCACTTTCTTGATTTTCGGACCTAGGGCTTATCATATCTCACTACGCTCTAGGGACTTTTCTGCGGTGTCCAGTCGTCGAGTTTGATAATTTCAGGGATTTCAAAGTCAGTTTACTGACTTAAATGACTGATTGAACATCTCGGTGCACTCTACCTTGTTGTCGAATGTTTGAAATTAGTTTTTTGTTAAACTCTTCAATTCTAACTGCCAACAATTCGCTCACTCTCACTCTACTTATAGTTGTACCCCGAAAACGATGGTTTCAGGAATCTGTAAAGTCAGGGACTAGTTTTAAGCGCAACTGACTCTTTTGTTAGGATTGAAATTTTGTAGAGATTATTTAATTTGACTACCTTGTACACTGGAATGGTTCTATCAAAATAATTACTTTATCATCATATTCATTCCTACCTTCCCGACCATTAGACATGTATTACGTATGATTATCGGCTAACTACCTTGATGCACGATAATTGCTAGTGTAAGAGTAGCCTGAAAAAAAGCTAGGGGCGGCCAAACCAAAACAATGAGATCATTCCATGAAATTACTGACAATAGGACTGACCCATATTAATTGATCTAGATAACTTGGTTTGGGTCGACGTGATTATCGCAACCAATCGTTAAAAACTTTGGGCGACCATAGTTCAAAGTCGTTTGCGATGGCACAGACGCGTTCACTCTTTATCTTTTCTTAAATTCTAAGTTTCAAGATTTCTCCTAAGTGTTTTTTTACTATTGCACTAATTCATATTTTCTTCTCGAATAGTATCTTTGATGCCTAATCCTTTTTATTATCATTGATACTGTTAACTACCTCGGTTACTCTGGAATTTCCCCTGATAGTTTCATCTCATTTTGCTGATAGGGCGTAGCAACTTGAACCGATGTTCATATATATCAGGTTCTACTTTGCTTATATAATAAATGAGTGATTGACTCATCCCTACTTTGTTTGTTTGTGTATTGTTCACACGATTTATAGTCTATCATGCAATTATGCTGTATGAAATGAATGTTCATGAATTACGTAATCGAATGGCTTTTATATTATCTTGTCGTCAAGAATGCATCAAAATTATATGCCTTGTCACAGAAAATGATATTCCTGTCCTATTAACCGATGAGGTTGGTTATTTATATTTTACTGTTTATGTTACCGAATTTTTTTCTATTAACTGCAAATGGGATGTGGGATTGTAGATTGTAGAAATGACATTAACAAGTCGAATATTAGTTGAATTGAAATCGTAGTAATATCAGTGATCGATGGGATAGATATTGACGAATGGGACTAGAAAATAACGGATTATTTCGACTGAGATATTAACTAGAGTTTGGAACTTCACGTAATCCCATGCAACTTGTCTTAATTGGCAACCGTTCAAGTTCATGGGGAAGAACTAGAATCGTGCTGTGATAATCATGGACAAATCCATTTGACTAATGGATGTATGTATAGTGAAAGTAAAATATAATTAAACACTGAACGTGGACAGATATATACTCAGATTATCGATTATTTAATATGCGATCTCTCGCCAATGATTGATTTCTAATATGAACTCCTTGAGTATAGATTGCGTGCAATTGTGTTGAATAAAGTATTGTCTAGCCTGTACACGGATCATCTATTTTTGATCGTAAATCATATACCTGATATAGCGTTATCCAGTCTATATATGTAATATAACGATCGAGTATTCAGTTTAGTGGTAATTAAGTCTCAGTTCACTTAACGGTCATATGATTTTGCCGCGAGATAATTTTTGAAAGGTACGATTGCTACTTCAAAAGTTTGGTACAAGTGGGCTGGACAGGTACTCTAATTTGATCCGGCCTTTGAACCCTATTCTCATACACAGTCCAGACTTTCAGCCAATATTTCGGCAACAAGTCATCATTGTTTAATACCCGTTATCGATGTTTGAAGCTAATTATGAACGAAAACGATGATTTTCTTACGCATGTGGACATCGTCAACCGTGAATGCAAACGCTTCCGGTTGAAGTCTTTGTCTGTAGACCAGTTTAATGATCATCCTTGGCGGTTGTCAGATTACAATCCGCATGGTCTTCAGATGAAAAAGATGTGATTACCATGTTTTCCTCAGCCTCAAAATGATCATTATTGAGTCGTGATAAAGCATTTCCTTGACCGAAATCATAACCCAAGAGTATCAAGGCCCATCGCTGAAGACGATTTGCAGCATGGGCTGGTATACCAGAATTCGACCCGAAACGGCGAACAGCAAACACAAGTGCGAGAACTTCCTTCTCTATCTGGCTGTACTTCTTTTCTGCAGGGGTCAGAGTGCGGGATGCATGCATAAAAGCTTTCTCTGATGCGTCTGGAAACTGATGTGAAATGACGGCACCTAAGCCATACGCTGAAGCATCTGCAGCTACGACGATCGGCATGGGTGGATCGTAGTGCATCAATAACAATTTTGAGCTGATGATGGACTTCAGTTTACAAAATGTTGTATCACACTCTTTATTCCAGATCCACGTACTGTTCTTGCTCAGCAGACCATTCAGTGGGGCACGAAGTCATACATCGAAGGGACGAACGCGGCATAATAAGACCATTCCCATGAAGGAACGTAGTGCGGAGATATCCGTAGGCATGGACATCTCTCTTATCACTCGGACGTTTTCAGGATCCGACCGCAATAAAAACTGGTATTTCTCAGGACATAACCGGAACCCGTTTTCACTGATGCGTTTCAGTACCAATATCGTTCGTTCCTGTAGTTGTTCTAACGTTGTCGCAACAATTAGAATGTTATCAAGGTAAACCGCGACTCCCGGGATGCCAGATAAGATGGTGTCAATTAATTCTTGGAAAATAGATGGTGCAGTCTTGACACCGAAAGGTAGACGGTTATACCGAAATAACCCACGATGCGTGTTAATAGTAAGCAGCTCCCTCGATGCTTCGTCTACTCCAACTTTCAAGTAAGCATCAGCAAGATCCAGTTTTGCAAAGAATTTTCCCCCATTCAGCATGGTAAACAAATCTGCAGGAACTGGTAAAGGATGATGATGCTGTTCCAAAGCTGCACTGAGACCTGTAGAAAAATCAACACATATTCGTATCGTGTCGTTGACCTTCTTGATAACCACTATCGGTGCTACCCAAGCAGAGTAGAAACGGGAGTAATAACTCCTTGTTGTTGAAGGCGATTTAATTCTTCATCTATTGTTGGTAACGTTGCATAAGGTATAGGTCTTTTGGGACGGAAGACAGGTTTAGCCCCAGATTTCAAACGAAGCGTTGCTTTCATGACAGAACACCGTCCCAATCGAGGTTGGAAAATAGATGAAAACTGCGTCATTAGTTTCCTCGTATATGATTCAGTGTCATGTGGTTGTGGTACCAGGTGGTATATGGTATTTCACGGGACATCAGCTAATTTCAGCTGGCGTTATATGACACCCCAGTAAACGACGAATCCCGGTAAGTAACTTTACATTCCAATTGTCCTGACAAGTGAAGGTAATTATCACATGCAGTACGAGGCTTTTGTGTTGTTCGCTGCAGGCTTGTGCTGCCCATTCTGGTCCAATTTTTACGTGAGAGGATGGTGACATCTGATACTGTATCTATCTGCGATCTAAACGAATGTCCATTAATATTAGGGGTAATGAATTTCGTTTCACCTGGTGATGAGCTTTGACAAGAAGATACAAGGCTCAACGAAGTGGTACAGAATTTAGGAACAGTCTTTTTGGTACTTCGGGATCAGTTCGGCTTCCTTTTAAGAAAAAACCCATCTTTACGACCGACGACCTTACACTTCCTGCATTGATGTTGCCTAAATGGGCAGTTTCGTACATAGTGTCATGCACCACAGTGCCAGCAAGGAACAGGGGGATTTGTTTTAGTCTGTCGGACTGAGTTGGAGTGAGATGGACTGAGTGTAGCAGGGGCACATTTATTCTGATTAGGTGTCTGTCGCACAACTCGTACTTCAGATCAACTAAACTCACCACTCTGAATCATAGTTGTGTCTCGTTGCAGATTAATGAGGCTTTGGTATTCACTGGCCATGTCACTAAGGGTGTGTTTAGGATCTTGATCCAATTGACACAGTAGCCGTGTTCTTATGTCACTGAACTTTTGTGACTGGAGGCTGCAAGTGAGGATGACGGCTTTAAACTGGTTTACAGACAAAGACTTCAACGGGAAGCGTTTGCATTCACGGTTGACGATGTCCACATGCGTAAGAAAATCATCGTTTTCGTTCATAATTAGCTTCAAACATCGATAACGGGTATTAAACAATGATGACTTGTTGCCGAAATATTGGCTGAAAGTCTGGACTGTGTATGAGAATAGGGTTCAAAGGCCGGATCAAATTAGAGTACCTGTCCAGCCCACTTGTACCAAACTTTTGAAGTAGCAACCGATCTTTCCGAGCTTCATCTTGATTAGCGAAATCAAATTTACATAGACCTTCATAACGCTGGAACCACTTGTTAAAAGTAGCGTTGGCATCAGGATCATAATGAAACTCAGCAATTCTATTTGCGATGCCGTCTAGTGATGATGCTGTTGTTGCATTAGATGTGCTAGCCTGTGTGGGAGGCGAAATCTCTATATCTGTCAACATCTGCACTAGTTCCAGCTGCTGTTGAACTAGTAATTCAAGTTTACTAGGATCTATTTTTCGAAAACCACCGTCGCCAAATGAAATGCTTGATGCTATTAGAAGTTCACCTTACTTGTTAAATTGAACGAAGGTTAAAGTCATAGTGACACGATTGCTGAAATCGACAAGCTGCATTACGACAAGTAGACGAAATTGACAAGATATATAGTAAAGGAGATCGGAATAATAACCTAGGTCGTCATCATCATAGGGACATACAAAGCGGATGCTTTTCTACCACTGTAAACGATTCCTAAGTCATACAATGGTGTATACTACTTATGTTCATGAATACGTCATTGTAGTCCATAAATAATCTTTAGCAGTTTCCATTCATTTATTCTGCACTCGGATATACTTACTTACGCCTGTTATCCCTTGTGGAGTAGCGTAGGCCGCGCACCAGCATTCTCCATCCGCCTGTAGCTCCTCCGGGGTCTATTGCCGATCCCAATCTCGGGTAAAGGAGGAGGGTTGGGCATGGGGTTAGCGACCCCATCTCTTAGAAAACCAAACTGGCTAAAGAAAAACTCTGACCAGAAAAAATGCAAACCTTCACTCAGATCTAACATAAATTTATTTAAGTAGAGTGGGACTTGGATCTTTCAACTTACTGTTTAAACAATAACTTCTTTTTCTTTTTTTTGTATAAATAGCTCATTGTTCAATTAAAGGATAAAAGTACACATCAAATTACATTGAATAAAATTTGTTGTAATAAAATTAATTTATTTTTAAAACCTACACAACATTAAACAAACAAAAAATTTGTTGAATTTGTACAGATACTTTGTTTTTTATTCTTGAATGTCAAGAATCTTTTGTTGTTTCGTTCTCTTGTCATTTTGCGATTTCATTTCTTCCATCTTGTTTCAACGAATATGCATTTCTTATTTTCATGTGTACCTGTTATAAATAGACTTTATGAGTATAATGAACTGTTCATTTTTGTCTTTCATTATCAGAATGAGGATTTGTGGAAATTGTAGTAATTTCGATGGTTGAATTCATGATTTGATATAAACTAGACCATTGAACGGCAGTTCCGTTCTAGTATGGGACTCCTCAATAGTACGCATCAACGCTGTTATAACGTGCGAGTGAGTGTGTGTCCTGTTTGATATATGAACGTGATGAGAGAAGAGCGAATTATCGATCGGAGCAATGATACACAAAGGCCGTATGAGCAGTCTTGAGTACTTATCAGTCCTGCTTTGTGTCTGGCCCAACCAGTTAAGTCCAGAACACCAATAACAGTCTCTGCAATATGAATCATTATTCACAAACATACTAAGTTTATATACCAACCAAACAGACCACATCGTACCATAAAATAGAAAAATACATTTGTACAAGATTTAGCCAAATGTTGCTGTGAATAAGGGCAACTGTAATTAATGGACTAGGGATAACTCAAGAATGGTAAATCGTATAATAATAGTCTATAAGTCAAAATGAAGCTTATAATAAAAGGAACATGAATTTGAATAGTTTACTTAGCAAATATACAATAGGAAATATACATATCATATTGGTCCATAAATAGCCCTCAAAAGTTACCATTCATAAATCTCCATGGGATACAACAAACGCCCCTACAAATGGGATTCGAACGAAAGACCCCCGATCTTGTTTGCGAACGCTTAACTTATAGACCACTGAGTGGGCATCCAACAGTGTTAATGTGTAACTCTAGTCTATCCATGATCTTGTGCAACCATTCATCAATTGTCTGAGACGGTTAACTGTCTCCATCCGATGCAGGTTGAACTTCGCTGGTCACGGTTTCGTATTAGAACTCCAGGAAATCCATATTGAAGCTAGTCACTAGTGAGCATATGATTATTATCAAAATGTGGAGATTGTAGTAGTTGAATTGATGAGTCTTTATTATGTGAAATGTATTCAATCATTTTAAAGGATAGGACATATTTTATAGCAAGTATTGATTTTAAACATTGTAATTATTTGCAGACTGTAGATTAAATACACTCTCCATAATCATCTAAAACTATGAGTAACCGTTTTCAAAAGTGATATAATTTGAAAACATGACGCTTTATGTTGGAACTCTAGAAGTGAACTTTTGAATCAAACTTAATCTGGAGTCTAATCAAGTTTAGGAACATGACTACGCTAAATATCGGATAATTAATACGGGAGAAATTTCATTTACGAATATTTTAAATTCCTAATTCAGATCTCAACCAATAAATTTAAATCTTGAGTCGTTAATAGGCATGAACGCAACAAGAAACTGGGTAGATACATGTATCATTAGTTAAGTGGTATCGTTAACAATGACTACTGTATAAGCAAATGTCAATTTCACAAATAATTGATACATGTCATGATCTTAATTAGAAACATTTTAGCCCTTGGAAGAAAGATATTCACCTCATGAGTGATGATCAAATTTATGAAAACTTCTCATTTATGTTTCGGCGTCCAGTAATATACTGTTGAATCTTTGAAGAAACTTCGACCAAGCTATCGTCAGCATTTACTTCCTTACGTTCATGTAAATTCGTAAATATATTATTCCATTTGCGATCAGTTCAATGAATACTTTGTGTTATACATTAAAATCAGTTAAGTTTCCAGAAAGCCCATTTCAATCTAATTTTCTGAAACCTCATCGTTTTATGACACTTATTTTCTTGGTAACTGTTTCTGTTGATTACTAACGGCTTTTTAATTTTTACACTTACTCAGAAGATTGATATGTAGTCTTATTCAAAATCCAGACAAATGAAGAAAACAGATAGGGTCACCTGAACTTGAATACCTAACCCTCAGTACCAACATGGATTTGATGATAGTATATCGTTTGTATCAACATAAAAGGAAATTTCCATATAGTAAGTTGCTGCTTCAGAGCGGAACATGTTTTTTATTTACAAGACAAAAGTGTTGGAGACAGCTGAATATGTTCATTAAAACAGATCGACCTTCTAGATATTTTTTGCCTTGAGATGTTTATTGATATCATATGCCAAACTCTTCAATCGGTATTCTGATTACGATATTCCTACCCCACGTCTACTATTACGTCTGTAGTCTAATGTCCTTAACTCGACCAATTCTACGTCCTGACTGGTACGATTAGCTTTGTGGCATCATAATCCACGCTCCTATTGGTCCGCCTGTCCTCAACACTTTCTTTATTCTCACTTTTGAGTCCAAAGAGAAGTCCACAGCCGAGCATGTCTTTACTAAACTTTAGCCACACAGTTAACACAAACAACTAGATAAAAAAAAACAGCTTACATATACGACTTATCAGAATACACAGCACACCAAAATAAGAAATCATACCACAACCACCCCATAAACGACAACGAAGCAAACAACACATAAATAACTAGCAATAATTATAGATTATCAAATCTATAACGACAGTTAGTAGGTCCGTTGAAAGCTTACAATAAAGAGAATACGGAAATATCAGTGATATGTGGGCGAAATGATAGTGATTGTTTGTCTTGATGAGTCAGACATTAAATAGGATGACAGGTGTTATATGTGTTATATAAATTCCCCTATCCTTATTGTGTATTGACTGTTCCATGTTGGACTGTTCCTTGTTGATGGACATTTATTGATTGACTGTTCTTTGTGTCGGATTTTGGTGTGGAAATATATTGACGTTGTAGTCAGGCTAATCTCGTGTTCTTGATCTGAGTTGTGTTGAAATCCTGTAGAATAGACACTGGGTAGGAATCTAGTGTAGATATTCGTCTAAGGTAAATTAGCGTCCCACATACGTGTAGAAAGTGAAAGGACTGTTATAACAAGAAACCGCCAGCGTTATAACAAGCATCCTCTCTTCTCTGTTTATAACAATCAGCATGCCGTTATTTAATTATAATCGGAAGAATAGTTCCAAAAGTTCTAGCTTCCGCATTATACGTCCCGTGATAATGCTTCATGGTTAAAAAGGATAGCGTTAATTTCTCAATCAAATATATTTGATTAAGATATGATGTCTTCAGAAATTATCCCAGGTGCCAAAACTGAAGCAGGTGGTTTTCTCAGTGGGCCACACCCGGAGCCTTAGACCTAAAGGTGTGATCCACAAGGCAGTGGAGCATCGTAAGGAGATGCAGTCCCATGGTAGCCGGTGAGCAACGATTGATTCATACGCCATTTTTTTCCTCAGGATACTGGATCCCATGTTCACCATTGGTTTGGAATGAGGGTTTTCCAACTCCCCTAGGTGGACACTCCACATCCACCAACCCGCTTAAAGCGTCGGACATCCGCTTTTTGTCCTCTCAATTTCGTAAATAATACCCCCGTCACGAGAAGGCAGTGAGTAGGACTTCCCTGTTAGAGGCCATATACGCATGGTTATGTGAGAGTGTTTGGAGGGGGAGAGCGGACTCTCCCCACTCTCGGCCGTACCAGGGCTTCTCGGCTCTCTGAGCTAAGATCATGTGTAGTATCTGTTCTTTGCAGTGTAATTTCTGCAACGGTCTCTAAACTGAGACCAATGAAATTACCTGTATTTTTCACCTCCGAACGGGTGCTGTGAGCTTGCTCAACCCCATCCACGGTTCAACCTCGTATTGCATTGATTTAATTACCAATTGCACAATTTCATAATAATAATAATCCACAATATAGAAAATATTTGTAATATTACTTAAATGACCACCAACAAATTCGGATTGTTTAAGTTTTTACATCATAATTAACCGACATTTTCTAATGAACCAACGCATCAATACTCTTATATCAAAGTATTTTTTTGGATAAAAGCCATAATGACAATTAAATCTAATAAATTGTAATAAACTATTAAATCAAACAAAGATGGATAGTGGCTAACAGTGGAATCCAGAAAGCGCGTTTCGCCCTATTTTGGACTCGCCAGCTGGATGTACCTGCATTTCAGAGTTGATGATCACTCTGGGACTCGAACCCAGTACCTTTCGCTTCAAACGCCATCGCGTTATCCACTTGGCCACTGAGTCCCGCACATATGTCAATTAGAGACTGACCAGTTGCAGTCCTAAACATCAATAGGAAGATTCAAACAAACAATACTAAATGAATTTATTAAAGTTTATTGGTCATATACGACAACAAAAGTCTTACCAATAGTTACAACAATGGAAATAGTAGGTCAAATGTGGATAAATAGACTTAAAATAATCCTCACAACATATTGAAACCATTACGTAATAAAAAGTATGTAAATAATTAGATAGTGAAGAATACAAACGGAAAATTACAAACAAATACCGGATATGTAAATAATGTTAAGTTATATCCGGCTATGAAAGGGATAGGGGGGTCACGAATTGCTTCCGTATACATAAATTGGGGTTAAATGTACGAATTCCTACGGTTTCAGCTATATGTAGGAGACGGGAGCGAACTCCGTTGGGAAATGATGGACGTATACGATAGATCACTCAAAATGATTCTAATTTATCTAAATTATGACCGTTGTCAATTAGATGTGCCAAAATAGAACTGCGTATTGTTTTTATCTGGCTCCTCATACACCGTGCTTTTAGATGTCCATTTATTCGTCCGATAAATTGCCCGATATAGTTATCTCCGCAGGAACAGCTGAATTTGCAAATGCACATTGAGGAAGCTAACTCAGGTAACTTATCCTTCGTTTGATTGGACATCGCTAGTTGACTGAAGAAAGTCAACGCAAGATTGATAAGACTTTTGTTATCGTAACTTATTATTCTCACTACTATCAGTACACCTGAATTCCTGCTATCACTTGATACTTTTACCTATTATGCTCGGTGACGTGCTCTATTTCATTGCGGTTATTGACTTAAATTGCCTTGATTGCTTTAACATTGCCGTATAAATATTCATGTATATTAGAGTAAAGCCTAATGGCAATCTCATTGAAAACAATATTGTTCACTTACATGTGTTGTTCTAATTTTCACAATTAGAATCTTTAATATTGGTCATATATTCAAAACTCAATTGATAGACTTTTTTTCATTGAAATAGAGAGACTTGGAGAGATAGTACTTGAACTTTCCTATACATAAAAGTGTATAGTAATAGAATTATAGTGTTCTTTGTATATAGTTAATCATGCAATAAACCAATTGAATTTGTTCATTCAGTATACTTTAGTTTCGGAAGATAATTTCAAAGGTCAAATTAATTGATAATAAGTGTAATTCACCTAATTTTTTTAAAGACACAAAGTTCAGCGAAGGGATCTCTTTTCAAGCTCTACAATTGTATAGATAGATATATGAAAATGTTTTGTTAAAGTACTAATTCCGTGAGGAAATTACGTAATACGAGTAATAACAATAGATTTAGTGAATATAATGAGATGATTAAAATGTTTCTATAGTTGAAATCATGAGTCAATTGAAGCTAGACCATCAAAGAAAACCTGGAAGCACTGAGTGGCCGTTTCGTCCTATTGTGGGACTCCTCAGCAATGTGCATTCACGAGATTCGAACCTAGGACCTACCAGTCTCGCGTGAGAAAAGGGATTGATTGGTTTTGCTCCCTTTCTAACATGAAGTCTATGGAATGGTGGTATGAGTCAAAGGTGTGTACGATATCCTCTAAATCAATATTATCGTCACAAACGACAAATGTGTCGCCCATGTATCTTACGTATAGATAAAATAGATTGACCATTGAACTGAGTTGGTCGTTTTCTAATTTTGCCATGAAACAATCTGCTACAATCGGACCTAATGGAGACCCCATTGCGATCTTATCTCTTTGTCTATACATTTGATTGTTGAAACTGAAATGGACAATAAAGGTACAATGTAATAATAATTCTTTTAAGTTTTCAGTTGACAAACAGAGATCTATGTTGTTAAAGTCAATATACTCACATATATAACATATCGTTTCCGTTAAAGGTAGACTATTTGATATAACTTAAGTTGATTGCAATTTCGAGTAAACAAAGGTTATTTTGGCAAGGAATAAAACAATTTTCTAAAGGGATAATAATCTTCAGAACGATGTTGTTTTCTGTTACAATTAACTACTCACTCATGATCTAAACGAAATGTCTTTCTTGGAATCCCACTATAAGTGACTATAGAATAAGAACTAACAGTTTCTTTATCTACCTGAGGACGAGTATACAAGGTAGCAGGTTGCCCATCATTAGTTGATTATAGAAAGCTTCGAAGAATTACATACGTAAAGTAAAATATTTTAGTAAGTAATGCTGTAATGACGTAATGTATTGCAGGTCAAGTTGGAGAATTTGTTTACGAGGATATATCTTTTCATCTATGAGTTATCTAATCACAACATATCACGACGCACAATGCTAGCTGGATTACGAGTGGGTTGGAAAACAGCTTGGGGTATCGGAATCAAAAACTAGTGTTAGTATATGAATTCATTGACCGTTGAACTGAGCCATGTTGGGAGATGTAGACTTCTCGTTTGGGTTCCATGCGATAATAATAATCTCTGATTGAAAAACTCAGGTGATTTGGCTAATAATTAGTCGCACTATTGCACCTCCTCTTAACCTTCAGTGAAACTCCTCTCTGTACATTTTATTGCATCGATGCATTACTTTTTTTCTAAATAATATTGACTGCACTTTATCCTTCCGATTATCATGAAGACAAGAATTACTTTGATTTACTCATTTAGCTAATCTAATTTCATTCTGCTGATTTGATGTGTCAAATTTTACCGACTCACATTTGTGCAAGGTCCTAGGTCATTTCTGACAAACATTTTCGGATAAAGTAAATTTAACCTATCCATAAGTTAATAAGTGTCAAAACTACAAAATATGCTCTGTAAATATGAATGTGAAGTATATTTCTACTTTGCAATATAAGTAGTCATCCTTGTTTCCATAGTGATTAACTTACGAATCCAGGATTCATAGCCACTTTTTTTAAGAAAGGTCAGCTGGATGACTGATGTCAACTAACGTTTCATGCTAATCGGTGTATCCATAGTCCTGATTGAACTGATAATGTCCATATGGTTCGAATACAGTGTCAGTGTCAAAGGTAGGGATTTCTTATGACACATATATTCACACTGGTCGACTATTGAGTTGTAACCATGTTATCTAGTACTTAGTGATGATCGTAGCCCAGGACAGAGTTTGATGGAGAATGTTGGTGGGCGGCCTATGCTCTCCCACGAGGGGTAACAGACGTAAGTAGTTACTTTGGTAAATATTAGACGTTAGCTGTTGAAATTACAGCTTTCTATCACGAACTTGTGGGTTTTAATGAAAAATAATCGATATCCGTTATTATATATTATTTTATTTAAATACATAAATATTAGTACAAAGGGGTATTAGATATATAGGTGCCGCACAAATCTCATTCGATTTGTGTGAGGGCTGTGATACTACTCAGGTGCCCAAACTGAAGAAGGTGGTTTTCTTAGGGGACCACACCCGGAGCCTTTGACCTAGAGGTCTAACGCACAAGGCAGTGGAGCATCGTAAGGAGATGCAGTCCCATGGTAGCCGGTGACCAAATAACTGGTTCATTCGCCATTTGTTCCTTCAGGATACTGGAGCTCATGTGCCTCATTGGTTTGGAATCAAAATTTTCCAACTCCCCTGGGTTGACCCTCCGTGTCCACCAAACCGCTTAAAGCGTTGGATATTCGCTTTTTGTCCTCTCAATTTCGTAAATAGTACCCTCGTCACGAGAAGGCAGTGAGTAGGACTTGTGTGGCAGAGGCTATATACGCGTGGCCATGGTAGAGCATTTCGAGAAGGAGAGATGACTATCCCCACTCTCGGCCGTACCAGGGCATTTGGGAACATCGATATCCGTATAAAGTGTTTTATATTTACGTACTAGTTTTGAAAACTTTCATGAAACATTCGTCAACACTGATTTCCACATCAAAAAATAATCATCCATTAGTGAGTAGTCATGCTATTTTCACATTTAGGACTTATATCAGTCAGTCAGCTATAACGTAGGACCAGGCATATATCAAAAGAAAGATATGGTAGCAAATAATAATAAATTTTTGTATTACAATATCAAAAATTTCAGCAGTAATAAAGTTTATTTAATGATTTGTCATATATATTTCTAGCGGATCAGTAGAAGTCTAGCGGTTATGAATAAAGGATCATAAAGAAAAATAATTCATATAATAAGAGGCAAATATCAATCGGTCTATTCGTGAACGCTTTAATTATATAAAAAAAAATTCAATAAAAATTATGTGGAAACAAATATCCGTCTCATTCTAGAAATGATTTTATAACACCGGATCAAAACGTACACCTAAACTTTCTACACCACATTCATCTGTACCACGACGTATTCGAAAATAACCTTGTTCACCCCATTCAACACCCCAACTATTTTTTACTTTCCAATATGGTTCACCGGATAATTTATCCACACCATAACCAACCAATAAAACAGCATGATTAGTTAATTCGAATGGATTGAAATTGTAATGATCGTTCTAGAAATAAATAAATAAAAATAAAATGTACCACCAGTCATTGATGTGATGGTGAACAAGGAGGTACTACCTCTCATTTGCCCTCACTGTAGGATACTTCTTCTAGAGGAATCTAACAAGGAAACTAGATTAGTAGTCGTTGGAGTAACCTGAGAGTGTGACCTCAGAGTCCGAGGAACAGCTGTTTGAGGCCGGTCACACATGACCTTTCTGTAAGCAGTATTTTTTAATCTTTAGCTCCGAGCTTTAAAAAGCCCTATCGACGAAGACGAAATCCATGGGGTAAAGTAAGATGTGAAATTTCTAGAGCTGACCTTTTCTAGCCTTTTCCTTCCTTCATGAGGTGTTATCGCTTCATATCCTAATTGCCTGGAGATACAACTTGCTGTCGTTGTACCCTAGCACAGTCAAGAGTATGAACTCTCCCTCGGACTACGAGTTTGTTGCTTTTAGTCTTACTGTTCTCCGACCGACCTGTCAGGTATAGTACAACTTAAAGGACTAATTGTTTCAGACAATATAGCTTGATCAGATCATTACGATATCTAAGCTCGATCACCAAGTCAAGATAGCAGCTACGATCATAAAAGAGGAATCATTTTTTCTAAATTTGACAGTCAAATAAACAAGTCTGTGGGCTTGGCTCTGAACAGAATCTTCTCATCTGTATGAGGTCTAGTAATAATACTTAAATACTAAAACTGAAGTAGGTGAATCTGAGTCCATCGAGTCATCACCACCACAGATTATTTAGCCAAATATTTAGAGAAATAATTAATAAATTCAAAGCAATAATTGGTATTCCAATTTTGTGATTTATTCTGTAAACTACACAATTAACAGTGTTAAGTAATGACGACAACTAGAGGAAACTTCAAGTTGTGATCTAAGTGACAGTCTTGAATGTAGTTGTAAAAAAGTGTTTCAACAATTGGAAACAACTAGAAAGGAGAGCCCATGACAGAATTGGTTGCAGAATCCCGGTGAGCGGCCTATGCTCCTTCACAAGGGGTAATAGGTGTAAGTAATTGAGAAAACTATATTATCATTCCAAATACTTTATCAACTGTATAATGTGAACTTCGAATGTTAGATGAATTGTAGAAATGGTTTACAAAAATAGGCATAACGGAATTAAAAGAAGTGGAAATAAACTACTTCATAGATTTCCGATATGAAAAACAATATGAAACTGTACTTAAGACTAGCTAAAGACGACTGATAATATGATACGAAAATTTTTGGGACAGACAGGTTTTTAGCTAACAGTGAAATTCAGTACATGGGTTACGTTTTATTTGGGACTTCCCAGTTGAATGTGTTTGGATTCACTTGTTTGTAACTACATTGAGACTTGAACCCGGTATCTTTAGCTCTAAAAGTCAAGGGATTATGATCCACTAAGCAGCTGGACTCAGATAGTCAATATCCTGTTCAAGAAGACGAAACGAGCACCTTGGATCGCACTGCTAGCGAGAATCTACCAACTTGAGAAACTTATCATCAAATAGATAAATTGTAGCAATCCGCTCAAAATGAATGTATAGCAACTAGGACGAACCAAAATGTAAGCCTAAATATCAACAATCGGATAGCTTAAATTTTTAAAAAGTCAAAGAGTCAATCAGTAATACATGTAAAATAATACTAAATATTCATAAAAATAAATGAAACAATACTAACTTGAACTGTCGTATGGTGGTAGATGCCTTCTTTATAAAATTGAAAATCTTCATATACTTCAAAACCGACAGGAAATGGACCATTAGAAATAAGTTCTAACTGCATTAATTTCTCATTAGTAGCGCCATAATAACCACCAATATAACTATAATCTGTTGTATAGTAACGTTTGCAGTTTTTTGATACATTACACTTTCCAGTATCTTCACCAGTATATGGATCACAATTTTCTGAGACAAAACCAAAATCTTCTCCATATTTACCAGCAATTAAGAAAGGAAAACCTCCATTACATCCTAAATATCATCAATGGATGAAACCATAAATATAAACAATGATTTATCCCTAAAATAATGTGTTTGAACGTATATGTGATATAAAGGGATTAAAAAGAAAATTTATATTATTTAACTCATTGTGATTTTTGTTTAAAATATGATATTCATGTATGAAATTAACAAGAACTATACTCAGCATGACACTTAGTAAGTGATTTGTTATAACTGGAGTTCTAGTGAGAAGCAGTAACCAGTGGAGTTCAACCAGGTCTGTTGGGAGATATATACTGACTGATGACATTGGTGAATGGTTGCTCAATTTCGTGGACTGGTTGAATTTAGATATTAACACTGTTGGATGCCGGCTGGCTCAGTGGTCTATCGGTTAAGTGCTCTGGCGCGAGACTGTCATGTCTTGGGTTCGAATCTCGCGAGGCGGGATCGTGGATGCGCACTGCTGAGGAGTGCCACAATAGGACGAAACGGCCGTCCAGTGCTTCCAGGTTTTCCATGGTGGTCTAGCTTCAATTGACTCGTCATCTCAACTCTATAAAGATATAACAATTGGCGACGCAGTCATAACAATCGATCACCAGTCATAACAATATGAGTTAAACATCAGTTCGATTTTAGACTAGTTAGATGCATATCTGCCTCATAATGAGTGACAAACGTAAATTGGACGAATATTATTCTGATATGAAACCCCAGATACAGTAGAATTGTGCTACATGTTTGATGAAATATCAGGATCGATTTGGAGAGCTCAGATGGCTTTGGGGAGCTGCATTACTTGTGACATAGGTGAGATGTTTGCCTGCCAACCAGAGTACGAGTTTACTACTAAGCAATTCCTATTGTTCTACTTTATAGGTGTGAAACATGGTCATTAATGACGAAGGATACTTGCAGGTTACTTGTATTCAATCATAGGTATATTTAAAGTATCGCCCGAGATCATTGAGTAAGCGATTCACAGATTTGGTGTAGGATACTGGGTAAATATGGTAATTCGATCAATGAGGTAGTGAATTTTCATCAAATGACGTGATTGAGATATGTATTACGCATCTCCAAACACCGCCTACCTCGACGGACGATGTTGTCTGGTGTGGATCTACGAGGTAAATAAAACCAGTGGGTGAAAACCGTGGGTAACACACCACAGTTACTACAATAGCGAGGACTCACACAAATATATTATCTTCTTTTAGATCCTGAATATTTGACTGTTCTGCATTTGATTTGCTTTTATACTCAGATTATTCGTAATATCTTTAGATTTCGCTTGTTTTTTTTTCTTTTTGAGTCCTCGTGGAGTGTGACGAACAGCGCCGACCAACCTTGAGTGAGATTGTATGTTATGTATCTTTGTTTAATTAATATGATGGGCATGAAATAAGCCTAACAGTCAAATCTTAGTTTATTGGCGAGTGAGTGGCCACCAGTCGCTCATAATGCCTAATCATATTTAGTTTTGTATCCAATATTTTGTATTTAAGCATGTTATTTCACCGGGCATAAATGTCTACTCTGCTGGCTAGTGGTTTTGCCACTGATCTCATCCAATTCATAGTCTATGTAAATAATTTGTTCTTGTGGAGAGTTTCCACTTCTCTAGATCGTATTATTTGATAATTAGTACTTCTATTTACAACATCATCGTCTACATGTTTATGATCTGAAAAACTATTGTACCATACTGTGATAGTGAACAAAACATTCAATTCTGAAAAAGGATAATTGAGAAAACAACTTGATTTCAGTAATCAAGAGACAAGGGAAACGAACTTTTTTGTGATAACTAACAAGTACTGATACCCTATTTTTAAGTAGGTTTAAACTGTATATTGTCATAGAGTGTATAAGAAAGGCAAAATAGTTTTTATGGCATTCTAGAAGTGTTGCGTGAGCGACCAATACTTTGGGCCAATAGGTAAATTTAGAAATTCGTGACTCATAAATATTTATACAAAAATTCAATATTCTTCACATCATTCAGAAAGACTGATGTATGTACAATAAACAACCAGAAACTTAAACATATTACGAATAAGTACAGCTAATAATAGGTGATTAAAATACCTTCAGAGTAGGGGCTACAGTCAATCACAGCTTGAGGAGACAATATAGGTTGTTCGGAAAAATTACTAACCAAACGAATACGAGCTTCAAGTGCAGCAGCAGAGGCGAATGCATAACAACTTCCACATATACCTTGGTTACGAATCGGTGTAACAGGACTTCTAGAACCGTCTGGTGGACTGGTCCAGTCAAATTCCAAAGGAAGATTTTTAGTTAGTGAAATGAGTTCTTCTGATGGAGTTTTCCTATTTAGCACTGAAGGTCTGAAAAAGGGAGCAAGTTTATGAGATGGTGCAATAAAGGTACTTCCCAATTAAAAGTATTAAGATTTTTAAGATATCATATGATATTTAGAATAAACCAGTTCACTTTTTTCAGCGAGAATGGAGCTACTTTTATTCCATACAAGTTAAAACATTAATGAACACATATATGCAGATGATATGTTGTTGACGAGTTCTGACAAACACGAAGCCCTAATCTACTTTCCCGTAAAGCATGTAGTACAGTCTAAAGAGTGAACTGACTTTTTGATTCCTGCTAAAATATCTAAAGAGGGAAATTTCCCAGATTTCTCTGTTAAGTAACGTGAAACTGCACTTGCCTTATGTACAGCCAAATTTTACACTATTCTGTAGAATTAATAATAAAATAGGAATTTTAAGTTTTGAAGGATTACAATAAACGAACACGACATTAAGGACAACAAAACCAAATCATGGTATCAATTCATGAAGTCATTGATTGTTGATCTTAAGTAGGTTGGTAGACAGAAAAATTGGTTGGGGTCAGAATGATAACTACGACCGGTGGTTGAAGACTGAGTGAAACAATTAAGGATCGTTCATAATGGCGCAGATGCACCTACACCTTATTTTAAATTTCAGTCAGTCAGGCAGTCACAACGTAGAACTTCGTACGTACGTACATCAGTTCGAGTTGCCATACCAGATTAGGACAGAGATGCAGTTGTCGATTCAAATCCCATAGTGGTAGAAGTAGTAGGAGTATAATCAGAAATCCAAAAGATTAGGGTTTGAAGAAATTATTGAAGGAGTATAGTACAGTGAAATAAATTTGGAAAGAGAAAAAGATAAAGACATGAGGAATTCAGATTAGAATTTGGTAGAACACAAAGAGTGGATGCACCTTCGCCATTGCAAACGATTTTGAGCCATGTCATTCAAGGTCTCTAACCATCGGTTGCTGTCATCTCGCGAATCCCAACCAGGTAGTCTACACCTACCAACATGGCCCAGTCCACTTGTCAGTGACTTCATTGATTTGTGCCACCTTTTGGTCTGGCCTCCCCTAGCTTTCTTCCAACCTACTCCTACACCATGAAACATTGCACGTCGGGGCAGTCGGGCATACGTAATACATGTCCCAGCCATCTCAACTGATGAAGTTTCACTACTTCATCAATCGATTTGCCATCCCTACCTAGTACTCGTTTCCTAACAACTGCATTACTTACCCGGTGGTCCCAAGATATACGAGCAATGCTTCGAAGACACCTATGATCGAACACTAGTAGCCTACGAATATCCTCTACTCTTATTGGCCATGTTTCACTGCCATAAAGTAGGACGGAGCGAACTGCTGCACAGTAAACCCGTCCTTTGGTTGCTAGACGGATATCTCGCCTACGCCATAAATGACGCAAGTTAGCGAAAGCTAGACGAGCCTTCTGTATCCGTGTTGAGATTTCGTCACATACCAGACCACAAGGGCTGATGAGACTCCCAAGATAAGTGAAGTGGTCTACACGCTCAACTACATCACTCCCTATCATTAGTTCAGGTGTCGCTGCAACCCAATCCTGAAGTAACATTTTGCACTTCGATGGAGAGAATCGCATCCCGAACATGCCTGCATAGTTGCTTATAGTGGTCAGAAGACTCTGCATGTTGTCAGCGTCTTCACCAAGTAAAACTATGTCGTCGGCGTATTCTAAGTCAACAAGTGAATCTCCCGGTAGAAGTTCAACTCCTGGAGGTTTAGCTGATGAAAGTGCTATCTCTAAAAGTATGTCAATGACAAAGTTAAACAAGAATGGGGAGAGTGGACAGCCCTGACGAACGCCACTTGCGGTAATCGGTTCTGATGACAGTTCGCCATAGGCTCTAACTCGACCAGTTGTGTTCGAGTAGACAGCCTTTATGAGGTTAATGTACTTTTTTGGTACTCCTTTCAGTGACAAACACTGCCATAGAACCTCACGATCAACGGAGTCAAATGCCGCCTTAAGGTTAAGAAATACTACTATTGTGGGACGTTTGAATTTGTGTCTATGTTCTAGGATCTGACGTAGGGTGAATATCTGGTCTATGCAACCACGTCCAGGTCGAAAACCTACCTGGTTTTCTCTAGTCTGCTCTTCACGAGCTTTGGTTAGGCGACCTAGTATTATTGAAGCTAATATTTTAGACACTATATTAGTCAAACTGATCCCTCTGTGATTGTCACAGGAGGACTTTTGTCCTTTCTTATAGACTGGGACAATCAGTGATTGGGACCAGTCAGATGGAATTACGTCCAGTTCCCAGATTCTACCTAAGACCTCAGTCAATCTCACTGTTAGTACTGGACCACCATCCTTAAAAATCTCAGGGGTCAACCTGTCAGGGCCTGCTGCTCTCAAATTTCAGTATTCCTTTACATATATATTTCCAGTGTCTTTTCAAACTATATTCTAAATTTTAATCTTTCTATCATCGTTATTTCATAATCATCATTTTTTGCCATTTTCATTCGGTCTTATTGATGTAATATAGTGACTTCCACCAGGTCTAATTACGTTAAAAAAATCAACTTATTGAGATATTATCCATTTATCATTTTAATTTGGTTAAAATTAGAAAGCTAAAATTTGGTTACAATTCCTATAAAAACCAGTGTATATCGGTGACCAAACATCTTGAACGATATAGAACGAAAACTTAAATAAGTTAATTAATTACAAAATCGTTTGCAATGGCGAAGATGTATCCACTCTTTGTGTTCTGCCAAATTCTAATCTTGTGAATTCTTCATGTCTGGATTATACTTCTTGAATAACATCTTCAAACCCTAATCTTTGGGATTACTGCTTATACTCTTACTACTTCTACTACTATGGGATTTGAATCGACAGCTTCATCTCTGTATTAATGTGGTATGGTAATTCGAACTGATGTACGTACGTACGAAGTTCTACGTTCTGACTGGCTGACTGACTGAATAAACTTAAATGTACTTTTAAGCCTATTGGGATCATTATTAACAAAGCTTCCGTTACAAAACTGAACTTCATACTCTAGTTAGTGGAGTAAAAAAAGAGAATAGTAGTCTCGTTTACACTACTGAGGGTGGAGTTACAAAACACCGCCTTAGTAAACGAACGTATCAGTTCAAGGTATAAAATGTTTACATGTTTGTCACAACAGAATACAAAGTTTACTGTTTAAAAGGTAAATAATGTTTTACCTAGTAACCATAGATTTTACACGACCAGCTCGATTTCTGAGTTCATCTATTGTATACTTTGATAATTCTGGATAAATTTCTGCTCGCCAAGATTTTTGATGCGCATTTATTTTGTCGACAAAAGAAGGGTTAATGTGATAGAGAGTTCTACCAAAACTTTTTGAACCAAATAATTTATTAGTCTGAAACCTGAAATAGTATGGATATGAATTATTATTATAACAATAAATAAATAAAGTATTTGTAACCAAAGGTCAGTCAGTCATGTTCATATTTTCATGAATCTGCTTTCAAACTTATAAGCAATTACCATGAAAAATGTTTTCACAGTTTGTTGTTGTGTACGTGGAAAAAGGTATAAAAACGACAAAAGTTCTGTCTTTTTAGCTTTCCAGACACTAAGCTCTTTGATGATGCAACTCTACCATCACATATAACTCTTTGTTTGCAGGAAAAGTGGTCTTATTACAAACTGTTTCACAATTCTTATCTCTAGTTAATGGTTCTTTGGATTTCAGAGTATAAATGAATATGCAGTAGAAAATCGAACCAGTACATTAGTGTGTAAGAGTCGATTTGATGACCTATTTGCAGTATAACCATGGCCAACGTATATAAGAAACAAAGCCATATTAACTATCCTACTATTGTCACTGTTCAGCACTTACCACTTGGAAATCGTAAGGATATGTTCTGAATTTTTATCATCAGTTTTAAGAAATCTCCCGAAGCAGCTCTTCTTTTTTTATTATTACTAACAACGACTGAAGCTGCCAGGCTAAACAATATTCTTCTACATCTGAAGCCGTGCCTAACTAAAAATACGCCAAAAAATGCCCTGGTACGGCCGAGAGTAGGGAGAGTCCGCTCTCCCTCTCCAAGTGCCCTCATATGGCCACGCGTATATAGCTTCTAATAGGGAAGTCTTACTAATTGCCTTCTCTCACCACGGGTGTTGTTAACGAAATTGAGAGGACAAAAAGCGAATGTCCAACGCTTTAACCGGGTTGGTGGACACGGCGAGTTCACCTAAGGGAGTTGGAAAACCCTGATTCCAAACCAATGAGGCACATGAGCTCCAGTATCCTGAGGAAACAAATGGCATATGAATCAGTCGTTGGTCACCGGTTACCATGGGACTGCATCTCCTCACGATGCTCCACTGCCTTGTAGATCAGACCTTTAAGTCAAAGGCTCGGGGTGTGGCCCACTGAGAAAACCACCTGCTTCAGTTTGAGCAACTGGGCAGTATCACAGCCCTCACACAAATCGAATGAGATTTGTGCGGCGCATATGTATCTGGTACTTCCTCGTACCAATATTTATGTATTCAAATAAATAAATAAAACTAAAAATACACTCAAGTGTATAGTTTGGGCATACATTCACTGCTGTGTTCGCTGAACTGGAGCACCCCAAGGTTACTTACATATTTGCCCCTTGATATAAAATATACGCTTGAGTAATTAAACCAATAACTATTAATAATTCAACCAAAGTTTATGTCTTTCGGTAGAACCCTCTTTATTCAAGCTGCATATGTTTGGAGTATAAGTCAAAACTGTGAACAAACAACGGCCCATTACACACAGCAACTTTGTGACTTTTGTTTCGAATTATAATTAGGTTTTTCATCACGAACTGACAGCTATAATCCCAAAACTCTATTAAGCCAAGTCGATGAGTGAATTTTGCGCCAAAATTCAAAACCTAACATTTTATACTTGGTTGATTCGCCCATAAATTACAGTCTCGCCGAATTTCCTACTTAAAATTTAGCAAACGATAATTATAGAAACAGACAACCGTCAAGACGAAAACCACCTATAATAGAATACCAGTATGAAAATCACTTCAACCGTTAACTAATAAAAATTATTTGAGAACAGCCTACTTATCATGCACTCCAATCTTTTCGGCTACAAAACACTTCCACTGTCGAATTAAAGTGTCATGTGTCCACATCGGCATAGATTTATGGCAATTAAATTCTCCATTTGATTTGTAAGCAAATATAACTAGCCATTTGCGATGATTTATTGTTACTTCAAACCCCTAAACAAAATGCACAAAATTCATTTCCGAACATACTTGATTATAGATTAGAGTCCAATGTCCTCTATTTCCAGATGCATCAATAGCAATATCCGGGTATAAGAGACTGATAACAACAGACTGTTTTGAATTTACTAAAAGGAATTGGAAAAGCTATGAAAACGTGACTTACACTTTTCAGGGCATTTAGACTGATAATCACCGATATGAAACATCCAACGACCATGCGCATCTTCATAAGTACAGTTAGCAGGAGTATCAGCACTTGTAAACTGCAAACATGCCACTGTTATTAATATGCAGTGGAACACCCAATGCATTTTAAGGAATCTGTTACAGCAAGATACACTGGTTACAGTATTTAGATTATGTATTTAGATAAATTTTAAGAAGGGTCAATTCAAATAAACAGCAGTAACAGCAGAAACAAAACACCACAGATACTTCAAAAAACAATGGAACAAACACTTCTGTATCATAGTACAGACCAACACTACGCTAGTTTATATATTAAATGTATTGTTTTGTGAATATACACTGGATAGCAACTTAATGCTTACAGCCATTCAGGTTTGATATTATAAAGCTGAGGCCCCAATATTCATTTTCAAGTGCATAAAGATATGGCATCCTCTTCTGGAGGATACACTGACAGTACATTCAGTTGGCTAGCCCAAAAGAAGGTACATTATTCACTTTAGATGTAATTGTACTGATGGAGACTAGATTTTTTCTTATACTACTTCTTTCATTATTAAATAGTGTTTCATTAATCCAATCTCGCGAAGGACCAAAAGTGAGCTAAACTTCCTAGTGATCAAGCGACATCTTTCAAAAGAGATTCCACACAGCTAACGGTTTATTAACCTTGCCCAGTAAAGTTTGAATTAACGCGCGCTATTCGAACGGGAAGTTTAGTCCTAACGTGATTTACATTTCTCAAACTTTTGCTGTGTTCTTACGCAACAAAAGTATCATTTCCAATCCAAAGAATCTATTCTGAGCTATACGTTCGGTAGATTACTTCTTTTTTGTGTTTCACTCAAATTAATAGTTAACTGTGGTTTTGCCTCAGCTCACTATCGGTTTTTTTTATAGTTTTCACGTAAAGGCTAGCTTTAGCTTATCGTTAACTGTTTTTATACATTTTTGATAGTTTTTGTTTACTGTGTGTTTTTTTTATCGGTCCTAAATTTACTGCTTATATTTTTAAGACAGTCTAAATCACTAGCCATGAAAAATTCATGCAAGAGACCTGGTTGCCGTTTTGCCGTTACATCTGGCATGCAATGTGACAACTGTAAAGGTTGGTTCCATGAAGCATGTACAGATCTAACAGCAGCAGCCTATAGCAGACTCAGCAAGTCTGATCGTAGGTGGGTATGTGTTACCTGCAACACCGATACGGTAGTTATGTTGGGTACTATCATTACTTTACTGACAGGTCTGAGAGATAAGTTGTCTAAGAATTCGGTAAATGATATCATCATGACGGGTAACAAAGCTGGAACGCATAGGGCAAATAAGAAAAAGGATACTGACAGGTCGGTTATCGACGGTGCTGTTAACAGCACGAGTGATGATGTGTTGAAACTCAGCACCATCCTAACATCGACTGTCATCGACTCCCTCAGTAAACTTGGGTCCCCCGGGGAACGGTCCTTGAATGAGACAGTGGTTCCTAAAAATCCTGTAGGTGGATGGACTCACGTTAACAGGAGTAATAAAGCCCAAGCGTCCCCTCCGAAACTGAACGTCCCAAGTATCGTGCGTAAATCAATTGATGCTTTGGCCGCACAGTCTACACCCAAGACTGTCCGCCGGGTCATCACTGAGCCCAGGAATCGAAAACGCGCCTCGACATCCAAACAACAAGATACCAAACCTAGACGCCCTGGAAAACCTGGGAAATCAATTGCGGTTCGTGACGACTCTGTCATAATCATGAACCTTATTGACAACCCCGACCTTCCTCTCAGTTTGCAGGACAAAAACGACAGGATGCTCTGGGGAGAATTAATCAAGAGGCTTGAACTCCCTAGAATAGAGCCTTTGACCGTCACACGGCTCACTCGGGGGAAGGACTCTAACCACCTAAACCACCCGAGGCTGCTTCGTGTTACACTTAAGAATGCCTCCGACGTAGAGGACGTCCTGCTAGCCAGTCACTTACTGAGGTCCGATGGGAACGTAAGAATACTGCCCAACATACCGTATTCTGAACGAAATCTCATCCGGAACATCCCTAAGGAATCTCGCGAGGCGTTCTTCCGTGGACGAAATATCATTGTGCAAGGTGTGCCGGAAAATATGGACCCAGCTCAAGCAAACTCTGATATTCGGGAATGGAAATTCATCAAGCATTCCTTAAAACTCAAGAACATATTGACCCAACAGGTAATGAGGCTGGCCAAGAGAGACGGAGACTCTAGGCCCCGGCTGCTGAAGATAACCTTCCCCTCCTCCCACATGGCGGCTGCAACTCTGGAAGCATTTCGTGCCAATAGACGTCGGTTGCCAACTGGCATCCATATGCATCCGGATAGGCCCCACGACAGCAGGATCAAGCACAAACGAAAGCTGGAGCTGACAATTCCACTCATGGACTGTCTTGATCATAAAAATAACGTGTAAAGGACAGGGACTACCAACTCGGTAAACATCGTATAGGTAGGCTACCTGTCCACTCACACACGGCTCATATAGACAAACAAGAAGAGGCTCACGCGTTCCAAATTGAAAGCATAAACTGCCTATACACGAACGCCGCGAGCTTGCCAAACAAAATGGATGAGCTACGTGAACTTAGCAACGCTAATGATGCCCATCTGATAGGAATATCCGAAACTTGGATAACGTCTCAGTTTACGGACCAAGAGTTAGCAATAACTGGGATGTCTTTATTTCGCAACGACAGAAAAACAGGAATGGGGGGTGGGGTAGCACTATACGTACGGTCATGCCTGGATGCGCACCAACTTCACAACCAAGAGTTTCACAATCTTGACGAGTCAGTATGGTGCTCAGTAAGATTATCTACCACCTCGAGGTGCCTAGTTGGGGTCGTTTACAGGAAGCCCACTGCCGACATCGAATATGACAAACGTCTGCTGGAAGGATTAACTCGCTCTACGCGTCTTGGATTCTCTCATATCCTGATTCTAGGGGATTTCAATCTCCCTAGAATCAACTTCGTGGAACATACATACATTGGTGGTGCCAACTCTACTGAAGCTCTGTTCTTCAACCTTATCGGCGACCTGGGATTATTTGAAAATGTGAAGTCGGCAACCCGTTGGAGAAACAGTCAGACGCCGTCACGCTTAGACTGGGTATTCACAAACGAAGAATTCCTAGTTGACGACCTCTCAATCCTGGCTCCCCTGGGCAAAAGTGATCACGCCGTCTTATCATTCAGCTTTGTCAGCAAGACGGAGCTACGATATCCTACTAGCAACAAGCGCTGGAACTTCAAACGGTTGAATGTGTTAGCTTTACAGGACTATCTTTAACAGGTGGATTGGAATGTTCGCCCTGAAATTGAAGTGGATGCTCATTGGGATTTTTTACTGCACACGATCTTATGTGCTACTGAGCATTCAGTTCCTAAAATGGTCCCAAAAAGCTACAAGCAACCTGCAATCATCAAGAACCGCACTCGTCGTTTGCTAAGCCGCAAAAGGCACTGTTGGGCTGAATATAAACGAACTGATAACAACGGCGCGTACAGGCAATACAAACATATAAGGAACACATGCACAAAGGCAATAAGAGAAGACAGGCTTCAGTTCCAGACCAAGCTTATCGATAGATTCGTCTCCAATCCGAAAAGCTTGTTCAGTTATGCAGCTTCTCTTCGACAAGGCAAAACTGGAGTTTCCCAACTGCTTGGTCCTAATGGCCCGACCAACAACGACAGTGATGCCGCTAACATTTTGGCTGAACATTACTCCCAGACATTCCAACTGACCCACATCAACCATACTGACGAAAGCTTCACCTGCACCTGTACAGGACTTTCCGAAGTGGACCTGAGTGCTGACTTGGTGCTCCGTAAACTGCAGAACCTAAAAAAAGACACTTCTCCTGGTCCGGACATGGTTCATTCCGCTGTATTGAGGGAAGCAGCTTCAATCCTGGCGACACCACTTAGCGTGATGTTTGCACACTCGCTAAGCAGAGGCAAACTACCGGAAATATGTAAGCTGGCCCACATCACACCAATTTTCAAAGGAGGTCGACGCAGTGAACCCTCAAGCTACCGACCAGTGGCCCTTCTCTCCATACCTTCAAAAATTATGGAATCCCTAGTATTCGACGGCATACTAGAACACTTATCATCCTCAAAGTTCTTCTCGCCTCAACAGCATGGTTTCAGAAAAGGTCATTCTTGTACGACCAATCTGCTGACCGCGGTGGATAAATGGACAACCATCCTTGATCGCAAGGGGAAGGTTGACGTCATTTACCTGGACTTCTCAAAAGCTTTTGATAGGGTCAACCATGCATGTCTTATCAAGAAGCTTGGACGATTGGGTATAAAACCCCCTTTAATTGACTGGATCACTTCATACCTAGAAAACCGACATTTTAAGGTCAGGGTTAACTTCACTCTCTCTCAGGCTATGGAATGTCCTAGTAGGGTCCCCCAGGGTTCAATACTAGGACCTCTTCTCTTCTTGATTTATATTAACGATTTTCCTCAACAAGTTTCATCTGATTTATTGCTTTTTGCTGATGATGTGAAACTTTGGAGAGAGATACGTACTCACAATGATATACTAGTTCTGCAGGAGGATCTGACTCGACTTCAAAGTTGGGCAGACGACAACGGACTTACTTTCAACACTTCAAAGTGCAAGGTAGTCCATCTGAGACATGTTGCAGACTATAGTTATAACTTAGGTAACTCACCTCTAGAAGTTTCCCAAGTTGAAAAAGATTTAGGAGTGTTGGTACCCTACGACCTGAAATCGTATGCGAACTGTGACAAAAACGCCTCTCAAGCAAACCTTGCACTGGTAACATTGAAGCGCATTTTTGGCCAGTTTGACGGTAGAACCTTACACATAATCTTCAACAGTTTTATTCGTCCCCACTTAGAGTACGGAAACATAGTATTTCCTCCCTCCCTCCAAAAGGATAAGGTCACCCTGGAACGTATACAACGTCGAGCCACGAAATCAGTTCGGGGTCTCAAATTCAAACCTTATGAAAAGCGCCTCAAATCACTTAACCTTTACCCGTTAGAGTATAGGCGTCTTAGAGGTGATCTTCTTATGACTTATAGTATCCTTAATACTTCTGGTCATCCCCTTAAACAACTTTTAAGCTTAGTCATAACACTAATTTGAGAGGTAACACCCAGAAATTGGAGACCCTACATAGCAGAACAGACTGCAGACACAACTTCTACTCCGTTAGAGTTGTCAAGTGCTGGAATTCGCTGCCGACTGAGCTAGTCCAAGCGACCTCCCAGGAGTCCTTTAAGAGAAAACTTGACTTATTCTTAAGGACTAAGGATAACATATTATTATGATTAACCAAATTCTTTTTTTTCCCTCTATTATCGTTCATATACCTAGGTTCTTGCCTGGAGGTATTGGTTATCCACTGCTACCAGACACGGAAGTTCGTTAAGTGAAAGCTTCTCCTATTCCGTCCTCAACCATTTGAACCATTTGAAAGGGGAAATAATGTACATGAACGACCTTAGACTACACTCTAGCTAATGAAAAGAAGTTTATAGCTAAGAAACAATTTATGATAACAAAGAAGTACAACTATAGTTGATAGAATTTTAATACAGATAATGAACCTTTATGTATGAATTACCGGTGTTTTCAGCATGTTAAATATAATATAAGAATGAACTTTGAACGATAACCTG